CTCATGGCCAGCCTGCTGTCCACCAAGACACTCAGGTCCTTTTCTGCAGTGCTTCTCTCCAGCAGGTCAGCCCCTAACCTGTACTGGTGCATGCAGTTATTCTTCCCCAGGTGAAGGACTCTGCACTTGCTCTTGTTGAGCCTAACAAGAGCAACATATGTTTTTTAAAAGCGAAAGATAATTAGTACAGCATGGCCAAACTTACATGCTGCCTATCTTAGAAGGTAAGCCAGATGGTGGGGGAATAAACTCTCTGTCCCTAGCAGAAGTATCATTTGTGTCAGCAGCCATCCCACTTTCTTGGGTTTCTGCAACTGATGAAAGAGAACCAGACAAAGCAGAGTCTGCAGCACTGATATCAGAGACTAAATCGCTGCTGTCTGCGTACAGCAATTCCATCTGGGTAGTGGTCCTTCGGCGGGCCTGGAGACAAATAAAAACCAAGTTGTAACTTAAACATTTCATGGTATGTGTCAAGAGTGCTACATTCAAGCTTATCATTAGCTGGTAACTAGCATCCCCCTTAATTCACTTGGCAACTACTTTTGGAAACCAAATCAAGGAGCTCACCTCTACTTTTTGGCAATGATTTCAGAGAAGGCAGGTCAAATTCAACAGCGTGAAACAGTGATTTGACAACTGGTTTCCAAGGATATCCTGTTAACTAACTACAAGTGTCTGTCAATACTACAGGAGTACAATATTACTCTCCTAAGGCTTGTCCAAATTAAATGTTATAAAGCAGAGAGGAATAAAGCAAAGTGTGAATTTAAATAGCTACAATTACATTGTCGTGATTTCTTATACCGATGTTTCTTCTGATACAAAAACTCTGCTTCTTACTTAACGTCACTTCAAAAGTAGTTCAAGCCCACCTGAATTAAGATTCGCTCAGCTTTTCAACAATTTGGAAAAAAACAGAAAAACCCACAAAGGAGCCAAGCTTTGTGTAACACAGTCATTCCTAAAAGGCTAATCACACATGTTAGGTGTGACAATGCTGTGAAATTAAGATCTGTTCCTCAGGGAAAGAAAGGCCACTGGGGAACACAAAGGTCTGGTCTGAACAGAGCCATTACAAAAATGACATGTTTATTTTATGTCAACATTTTCAGACCAAACTCACTCAGCTTACCTTCCCAAAGAGCTGCACACCAGTGAACACTACCAATAATGCAATAGCCAACCTAGATATTTTCCTCCAAAGCCAACTGTAGTTAGAAGAGTGAAGGCTAAGCTTCTATTTACTTTGCAAACTTGGTTTATGCTGCTGTGAGCACAGGAGCAAAGTCACAATCAGTTTGCATGTTTCCAGTTCCCACTGCCATTAATATTAAACTGCAGCCAGTGTAGATATTTTCCTCCAATGACAACTGTAATTAAGAGCCTGAAGGTCAAACTTCTATTTATTTTACAAACTTCCTTTATATTTCTATGACCACAGAAGCAAATCGCAAACAATAAGCATGTTCACAGTTTCCACTGGCATTAACATTAAAATGTAGCCTCATTAATACTAAACTGCAAATCTACTCCAGTTTGGAGTGCGAGAAACTGGAAGAATGTATCTTTTTCTGAAACTACAAAAATTCAAACACAAACATGTTGAAAGGAAAAAAAAAAAAAAGGGTTCATTTTTATCATTACTTCTCAGAGGAGTATCACAGAAAAGCATATTACATACAAAGCACATGAATGGTACATTAGTTCACCTTTTGCATATCTTTGTTCATTAATGTTTCTGGAGCAAAGCAAAATCATTCCCCAGAAAGTGCCATTAACGTATGAATTATTATTGTCATCATTGTACAGCCTACCTTGCTTTTGGGTTTGACTTCACCACAAAGCTTCAAAAGATCTGAAGATAATGAACTGAAAGAAAATTGTATCACAGTTAGAAAAATAGCCATGTTTTTGCAGAATGTGTATTTTTATTTGATTCTTCTTTCTACTGAAATAGTGGGCAAAATAGAACAAAACAATGTCAGAGGCATCTTCTAATGGATACATGATGCATTACAAAGAAGAGGAAATTACAGTAATCTTTCTAGAACCAGATCCAGTTTCCTGTTAACAAAGATTTCTTACCTTCCTTCTGTCCCAGGACTGTGCAATGGGGCATCCTCATCAGTACTATCTTCCAAATTTTCTAGAAAATTTCCAAAAGAATAATGTTAGTCTGTCCATCTACAATAGGATGTGCAGGTTTTAAGTGCTATACAAAACAGCTCAGACAATGTTGAATGTAGATGAACAGCATACAAAAGGCAGGGATTTTCAAAATATCTTTACTATTTGCTAGCCAGACCCCATTTAATCTTCTTGGTACCTAAACTGGTTTTTTCATACCATCTAAATAAATCATACACCTAGGCATACTGTGGCAAATGTGGTCCTCTATTTATTATAGCAGAGCAACAGGGATGACAGAAAAATAAATTCAAGAAGAAAATCTGGAAGAAAGAAGATAAAGCAAAGGAAATTAACTGCAAGACATGGAAGAGACAGGATGTAAATCAATCAACAGTAAGGAAGTCTCTTCCTCTTTTTTTTGTAATCTTCGTGCTCCAAGACATGAAAAAAGGCCTAATGAAAAAAAAATATATTTTTAACTAGCAAGTGAGCTGAAGCTCAGTCTCAGCTTATATAGAATGGCACCATTTGGGCTGACAAGAAGCAAGCACTTTATTAGTATACAAGCATTTAGGTTCCAAAACAGGATGGTGCCACCATTTAATAGTATAGAACTGCTTTCTAAAAATAGATTAATTGTATTGAAGTTAATTGTAAAACGAAGCTGTTCAATAGAAATGCTCCTGAAGTAATATGGGTACACAAACCTGTCCACAAAAGACAAAATCAGCATGCATGTCACACATTAACATTGTCAAACATCAGATTAACATGACTGCATGCAAACAGTGCAAAACATCAAGCTGAGACAACCATTCCAGGGCATATGTACAATCAATTCCAAACTGTTGGGAAACCAAACCCCCTAACTTGCATATTATTCTAATAATACATTTTAAGCATGGTTTAAGAACATAGGTAATACATTCCTGCAAGTCAAGTCCTTTATTTTTTAATATACTCATGAAATTAAAGAGTTACGTAATCTTCTAGTGACATTACATGTCATTTTTATTATTAGAGATGCTTTTAAGTTTATTTACTTAATTTCTGCCAGAAAGCTGATACTATTTATAATGCATAGAACCAATACATTTGGTATGCATATTAAAATAGGTTTGTCCACATATATGTTTTTTAAGTGCAAGTTCATGCTTTGGAGAAAGGAAGGAAAGATGTATAGTCTCCAGCTGAATCCTTAGAAAGAATGAAGAAAAAGAAAATGCTGCCTTCCTGTGTATGCTACATTTAAAAACGTTTCCTGAAAAAGCCAAAACCATACATCAATCTAGCACCAACATCAACAATGCACTTCAGGAGGTACTCAACTGCTACATCAGTTTTAACACTGTAACCTCACTTACCAGAAATACAACAATATTATAAAGAAAGCAGAGTCACAGAAATAACACTCCGAACTTTTTTGTTCCATCCTGGATTTGAGCCCACATTAAACCTTTTCTCTACCTGTTATTATTCTATGTCTTTCTGCAGAAGAGGGGATCTAGAATACTGCTCCTCCTAGCAAGGCACACAAGTGGCATCAACAAAATGAATACTTTTTTTCAAACAGAAGATTCATATTAGGGTGATGTTACTTCATCCCCTTCTCAAAGACCCTGTGACCAGTTTTTATAGGAAAAAAAGTAGAAAGTGTGGGAAAGGCACAAAAGATGGGATTTCATTTGTAGGCTCATATTCATGTGACCTGACATGTATTGTTTTTTTCTTCAGTTTGTCTGTAGTTCAGCACAGGAAGACTGCAGGAAGCCTCTAGGTAGAAACCAGCACACAGAATCAACAAGAAGAAATGAGAAGAGGCAGAAGACCAAGATTCTGCAAGAAGTCCGGAGCAAGAAGAGATAAAAGGAGCAATAAAGTTAGTAAAGACAGTACTGCTTGCAAGGAGTAGCTGAGATGACTGCTAATAAATCAATGATTGAAGAACAGTGGAGAGCTTTTCTGATGACTTGTCTTCATTGTCATGTAGAGGCAACTGGACAGTACCAGTACAATGCAGTGCACTAGCACAGTTCATCCAGAGGAAAACATTTGATCAGCCTTCTCAAGATTTGCACATACATGGCTGTGAGTGACATCCATGACCTCACAGGTGGAGAGGAAAGTAGTTCCTACAATTCTTCAGAAAGGAGTCACTCCAGCAACACTTCAGGACTCAACTTTGTGGTCATGTTAGCTCTTCACAAGAGCAGATGGGATAGCACATGGCAGCTGGCTCATCCACACACAAGGCAGGTGTGCTTTCAAAAGCCATTCTGAGGGTCAAAAGCCGAGTCTGTGATGTACTTTGCTGCAGACTGAACCCTTTTCTTAAGTCTACACTTGAATGTAGGTGCACAGCTACACTGGGGAATGCCCAAACTTCTTTAAGTCAAGTGTATTCAAATGGCTAACAACTTTCGATATATCTGAGCTGAAAGTAGGCATCAAGGGCTCACAAGCACCCTAGAAGTGCAACCTCTCTACTTGGGATGGGGCTGGCTGGATACTGCCACTGAGCTGTCGAGCAGCCTGGTGAAGTTAGTCTCAGGATCTGCTGTCACCCACGCTTCCACCCCTGGGAATCGTGTTACGTTACCAGGGAGCCCCTGCACCAACAGAGTCCCTGCTGACCAGCTGGCAGTCCCAGCCCCAAAGTCTCACTATAACGGTGTCTGAACTCCCTGCAGCTCAAAAGGTTTAGCCACTAGTGATCCACAAAACACAGACTATCAACAGTTTGGATTTCAGTGTGAACTGAGGTTAGCATGGCATATTCAAGCGAGATACAGCCACAGTGAAGTTTCCTTCCTACAAAGTGTTAGCACAGTCCTGAGTGGCACAGGTATTTTAAAAGCCTTGGTTCATGCTTGCAAAGTGTTAAAAAGCTTCTTTAATGAGATAATACCTAAAAAATTTTGATGATAGAGCTACTGTTTCAGTGTATTTAACGAGTATCTTTCCACTGCTCCAGATGTTGTTAATAAGTAAAAGCCTGTCCAGAGCTAAAAGAAAATGCAATGCTAACTTCCTAACACTGCTCTTACTCCAACAGGGGTGAGCACATACACATGCACACATATTAAGGGTCTATTTCAGATACACTATGATACTAACTAACATTAACACTGAGGATCCTGAACAAATACTGGCCATATGCAGCAAAATGCCCTGACACAGATCTTCAGGTGTGTCAGGGCACGTGAAGCTGGCAAAGTTGTCACCAGCTTACATCAGACAATGATCTATATGCTGTCAAGCACTCTTGTACTTTTGAAATGTTTCAGATGCCTATGCAAATTAGCACAGGACAGCATAACGGGATTAGAAGTAATAAGACAATACAAAAGGAATTGTTACTGACATCAGGAATATTTTTTCAAGTTTCAAACATAGCCGATTTGGTGGCTAGGAGCAAGGGAGGGGAGAAAAGCATAATTTATTTGGGAATCATTTAAAAGCACCAACCACAGAAGACTCATCTCCTCAAAGTCAGTGAAGTCAGTAACTAAACCCAATTGAAAAATTGAGATATAATCTGCATCCTCTACAATATTTACATTACAAAATGAGCTATCTGAAAAAGGTTACAAATTACCTGCATGTTAAGAATTACTTTTTTTCAGATCTAAAAATATTAGCAGAATTTGTCACAACTACAGCAGTTGTATATAATGAAATAGCTTTATGTAGCCTGAACATACTATATGTTCATAAACAGCAAGTCATAAATTTGAAATACAGCTCTGCTTACTGTGTTCACTTCTTATCTGGCAAATCTAACGTGAGGTCTATGGGTGGTTTCAGAAAGAAAGAAATGCTCTGTAAGCTCATGATAATGAGTATACTTACAGAATAGTTCATGCACACTTCACACACTCACAAATTCTAAGATGCACCAGTTAGTGAACATGAATGAATTAGTAACTCATGCAGCCGTACAGTACACAGAAAGCTAAACATACTTACCTAGTGGTATGCTATCTAGGTCTGTATAAATAACAGCAACAAGGAAACAAAAGCAACACTCCAATCAAAACATATCCATTTATAAAAAGGAATAAAACAAAAGTACCCAAATGTATTCTAAATTTTCTCTTCATATAATATCATGAGAAGTAGAATAGATGCCGTAACAGAAATACAATGCCACTTTCAAAATCACTAACATATGATGATTGAACAGGATTGCATATTTAGAATTTCACATTCAGAAGTTAAAATCATACCAAATTCTAAATAGTCTTTTGTAAAAATTATAAGCAGATCACTTGAATTTAAGATGTCTCAATAATTAAAAAACCTTCATTTCCTAAATTGCACTGCCAAGGGGATATACTTAAAAATTACATACATGCACAGCAATTGTAAAATAGAATTTAAGTACAAGATGTTAAAATACAGCATCTATTCCAAAAAGAAATAGCCTAGAATGCCCAGTACAGCATGCATGAAAGGCAAACATGACATGCAGCTATTCAGAATACAAAATGACAAAGTTACCTTGCAAAGCATGACCCAGCAAAGCATCAAGTTCAGGATTTAACTCAGCTTTTTCTTTCAGCATATGAAACAGCAGTTGGTTTTGAGTAGCACTAGTAATTTCTGTCTGCTTAAGGCGTCCCTCAAGAACTTTGATCTGAGCTTCTTTCTGAGCTGCTTGGAGACCCTAGGAGAGAGAGAGAAAGATGACAAATGCTTTATCACAATTCTTTTGTTACCAAATGAGAATTGACAAAACTTTTTAAAGACTACAAATACAAATAACTTGTGCGTTGTAACCTTTCTCTCACATTTTAAAGATCAGGTGTCAAGTAAAGGCCCTTAAGAGACTCATTAAGCAGTCCTTTAACTTGTATTACTCAGACTTTCTCTTGCAAATATGCATCTAGTGGCCAAGTTCGATGTAACTCCCAAGTACAATTCATAGTCTTTGCATTTATTAAAGAGCAGCAAGCATCTGAAAAATCACACCTCAATTTTTCACAAGTAGGTACTTTAATTATTACATATTATACTCTATAACAAAACAACAGAACTGTCATCTTTCCTGCAGAATCACTCTGAACTTTCAGTTTCTGCTGAAAAATCTCATGGCCTAATTTAAGACAATCCATTCTAAGGGAACTTTCCTAGACCCATGGATTAGGGGGAATTTTTTAGTTGTAGAAAATGTAGCCAGGGAAATTTAAAGAGAATGGTTTCCGACTAGAAGAAACAGCAAGGAAAAATGAAGGTACAACACATCTTCTCAAAGACTCATAGGGTAACAGAGGACTTTGAGTGCTCACACTTGAGAAAGAAGTGTAGTACTATCGACTTACTCATTAGATTCTGATTTTATAATGAACTAAACCAATATATCAATAGACACGTTGCATGTGGGCAATGACCAGTTTTGCAAGAAAATGTACCTTCAGTTTTTCTACACAAGAACTACTTATCAGAAAGAGGAAATATATGTTCACATAATGGAGCTTTTTATTATGATAAGGAGAATTTGTTAATAGAGTAAGTCAGAGGCACTTCTTTCATGTTAAATCTGCTGTAAGGAAACAGATATCCATTCAACACACCCAAGGGCTAAAAAAAATTCAAAAGACTGAAATTTGCACAAGCCAATGTGATTGTGGGAATTTTCTTTTCCTTTTATTAAAAAAATAAAAAAAAAAGAAAAAGAAAAACCACCAAACACCACCACAAACTTTTTTTATTACCTGCATAGTGATGAATCAAGAATGCAAAAAAAAAAAGAACAGAGAATTGGTCAGTGGAACTGACCCAAAGCCCGTTTCAATAGCCTTGAAATCTTTTGTTGAATTCAATGACATTGAGTATGGCTTCCAAACAGAAAGAAAAGCAGCAGCAAGAGCATATAATACTGTCTGTAAAACCCTGTGAACAGGGTTATAAACTGTCATATACTAATTTTGAAAATATTACTCCCCAAGGCTTTCAGAAAAAAGCCCACATTGCTCTACTCGGAATTCCGACTAAAGTATGCCACACATCAATATATTTTAAAGGCTCATATTTTTAAGGAAGTGGCTGAGTCAGTCTTTAAAAAAAGATCCTGAGTGTTCTGGTGCTTGTTGAAAAACATATAAAGACATTATTTATTTGATTAAAAAACGCTAGTGCTCTTATAAGAATAAGATGAGGTAATTAGTGAAGTAGGCTTTACTGGGGGTGGAAAAACAGACAAAGGATTGAAGGGGACAATGGATCTCAAGAGCCTTCACACTGAAAACCAGCGTGAGACTAGCACTGACCAGCTTTGTTTTGTCTGACTTACTTCTCATAGGTATAAATTCACATGAGTTAGTCTCTATGTCAGCACAGCTCTGCTCCTGGTACATGGCATAGGCCTAGCAAACACACTTCATTTAATGCATTACCTTATTGATACCCATTGTGAGGAAGTGATCAAGCAAATATCGAGCTTCTGTCAAAGTGCAAGCATTAATCACTGCTGTTACATCCAAGGTCTCTCCTTCTTCCTAAGTGTGCAACAACCAAAACAGTCAGACAGTGAAAAATGCATTTTTACTTCATTACAATAATTATAAAAAGCATCCCACAGTACAGACTGCAGCCTTCCCAGTCTCTTCTAGTGCTTCAGTTCCTTTCCTATTAGAAAGCTCTTACCAACCTCCAACTCGGACCCCTTCTTTCTACAAGCTAAGCTATTCACAGTGGATGCAGAAGTGCTGCATTTCTTCGTTCTCTGCAGCCTTCATGCATTTGAAGACTTCTCTTTCTAGACTTTTGCTCATTTTTCTTCCAATTATTCTCAGTCAGTATTAACCACCCTGGTACCCTCAAGAATTATTAAGCCTTTTACGTTCACTGCTTATTTACTCATAAAGTCTTGTAACCTTTTGCACCACGCTGTCCAAAATTCAAGAAAGCCTAATATGAGCAAAATAGTAAAAGCTGGCAGTGATGTAACATGCATCAAAGCACAGATTAGCCCAAGGTGGGAGAGGAAGAACTCAAGCAGTGCCATATAAAAATATTGGTAAGTATTACAGTTCAGACTTTATGCTGGAGACCTAGGAGACTGTACCTAGGAGATTCTATGTGGTGGATTCTTCCTGCTAGATCATGTAAGGTAAGATGCACATTATATGAGTTTTCACATTTGGATTTCACTGCTTTTGGTATCATTCAAATTTCTACATCAATCGTAACAGACAATTTCCCTTTACTAAATTACTATTTGAAAAGTCAACCCTAAACAAGCAACTTGGCCTGAAAAAGCTCTTTAGTTACGAAAAGCCACTGTTCCATAATTGAAAATACACTAAAACGCAACATAAAGAATTTATATAAAATTCTTACATACAAAAATACTTAAATTAAATATTTAAAGTATACAAAAACAGTACAAAGGAGTGGAAGCATATCAAGAGCTGCAGGAAGATGACAGAAGCTGTTAGCCTTCAGTCCCAAGAGTTATATTATTTTAATGCCAGCAGAATAGAAAGCATCAAATTTGATATTTAAACGTTTTGCAATTTTAACTTGCATGACACTATTGACACTAAAACTCAGATCTGAAAGTTCAGTTGTACAACAAAATTCACTTCTAAATGAGAACATTTTCAAGGCTAACAGAGTTGTTTTTTCTTGTCTCCATTTTCGCATTAATATTTGACCTACCTTTGCTTCTTCCATTTGCATAATGTTTGCTTGGCAGTCAGAAATGCTGTCATTAATGTAGTCTATATTCGCAGTTAGTGATTCCATCTCTTCATTTATGTTTTGGACATTTCTATCTGCTTCGCTGCCACCTCCATCCTTGATGAGCTTCTCTCTTTTCTTTGAAAGCTTTTCTCTTCTTTTTGTAAGTTCTTCACGTTGCTATTTTCCCCAAAAATACAATATTACATAAAAAGGAATTAGTAAACATTTAGAGCATTTAAGCTCCTTTTTGTTTTGTTTTCCTTTCTTTGTTATACCTTAATTAACATATCATGATTTCTACAGGAAGAAGTTATAAGTGTGACTATATTAATATATTTGCACATGATTTTAATTACATCCTTTTTACTTCTTACCAAGCACGGCAATCCTATGGTCCAAATGCTTACTGAAGTTGTTTAGAGCTTCTTCATTGACTGCAATGGAGTCCAATGACTTTGCCTATACCACCATCACAGCAATCCATTTACAGCAAATGTAAATTCACTGCTCTATTTAACATGACAATATAGCCAACAGTGTGTAGTAGACCACCCACCGTAAGTAACCTGTTCATATCTGCCTCCATATTGGAAATGGTCATCCTCTGCATAATGATATCGGTCACTCTGCGTTCAAGTAACTGCCACTTCATTCTGGCTGCCTTTGAGGAGTAAACTCTGCTCGTCACTGCTTTCCGCTGATACTTCTTTCTGTGATGGATTCAAGAGAAACATACAGCTAAGTTTAAAGTAGTCCAAATAGACATTTGGACGTAGAAATTATCAGGCCAGAATATTTTTCACAGACAACTCAAAAGTTTCTGGCAGATTTTCATTGCACCAGACATCTACCTGCACCCAGCCCTGAACTCCACTGCACTCTAATATATTGCATTTGAAAACCAGATATCAAACTCTGTGGCATCTTGTATGATGCACCATTGAAATCAAATGCCACCTAAGAGTTGTTCCCTATTTAACACAGGGATCTGCTTCAAACCACAATGGAAGATCACCAATAAACCTAACATGTTAAACTGTGTTTTCCAACAAGTTTTACTCTGTACTTAAGAACACTGTAGACATCGGACCACCAAGGGCACTTCTTTAAGAGATTAACTGAATTATGAAATTTTGGGGTTTCTTAATGTGACTTGTTATTTAATGCCATTTTATATTATCCCACACCATCTTAAAACCACAAAATTCAAATTGCATTTGATAATGGTAAAAGGCCCATTTTGTGAGCATTACACAACAGCAGTTTGAAAAACAACTACTCCAATATGTATCAACACAAGATTATCTACTAGAAAGTCCATGCAATTTTCAGTTGAAAGAGTTTTAGTCCATACCCTGTTCCATTTGTTGCAGTTACAGATAATGCTTGAACCCTTGCAACAGGAATTCTCATCTTCTGCTGTGCTGCTGTTCTTGAACCATCGTGCTCAACTGATGAGCTAGAACTTGCCTCCTGTATAGGATGCTCAGGCAGGCTCAGCTTTCGACTTACTTTTCCTGCCACTTTATCAGACAGAGGCCTTACTTGTCGACGAAGGGCTGTAACCTGAAACAAAGTGCAGAGACACAGTTACCTCTCCCCAAAACTGTGTTCTAAGTTACAGCTACAATATCATTCTGCTTTCAAGGACGCATTACTGTTTTACCACAATACCTCTTCAGTTTTGCGACGTAAGATAACTTCTTGATTTCTTTTCTGAGCTTCCAGAAGCTTGAGCTGATGCTGTGAAAAAACACAAGCAGCATATCATATTTTTTCTATTATCTGCTACAAGGACTGTATTATATAAAAAAAAGACCTTTACATATCAATACCAGTTTGCAAAACTGTTGTGACGTAAAGTGGGCAAATCACAATTGTTTCTTGTTCTTTCTAGTGCAGAATGAAAATAAGTGTTTCAGTATATCAATTCTCTATCAAAAATATTTGCATACAAGCAAGGTGGTAGCAACAGTTCTGTGAAGATTCACTAATGAAATAATAGTGATACATATATTCAATAAGCCTTCTATTTTCTGTTGCACTTATCACCTGAAGCTAGGAAGCAAGTTATCAGAGAAGTCAGACCAAATTATGTGTACTTTGACCGGTGAAAATATACAGGTACATGCCTGCCACAGTGCAAGTATCTACACATGGTGTGTGCCTGCAAGCAGATGCACATCATAATGATAGGCGCTTAGAAAGGTCTATCTGTCAAATCACCTCTCGTTTGCGTTGCTCCTTTTTAAGCTGTGCAATCTCTCTATTTCTTCTAGATTCAGTCATTCTAGCTTTCTCCTGCTCTTCTTTCATTTGTTTCATCAAGCGAACCTGTAAAGAGATCATCACTTAGAAAAGCTGTTTACACTGAAGTGCTGTTCCCTGCCCCCATTCACACAGTTTCTTCTTCTAATAGCCATCTTCCACTATATTAGATGCTTTTAGCAATTTACCTCCTCCATCTAATGTGTCTTCTTCACTCAGTGCTGAATAACAGCTAATAAGCAGTGCAGGCTTCTCCATGTTTGATACAGTAATTTCTGTTCATTAAACCTAAAAGCCACCTCTTCTCCCCAGGAATAGCCTAGCCTTCATAACTTTTCTGTTTTCAGACTTCTGAGCAGCTGACAGCAATAATAGGCTTATCTGGTAGATAAATGCACACAAGATTTCAACCTATTTTTCAGTAAACACTCATTGTACAACACTCCAATATACTGAAATATACCTTGGTTTTCTTCATCTCTGTTACCTCCTGCTGCAATTTCTTCAGTTGCTTTTCATATTGAGACTGATTTTTAAGCAATCGTGCATGTTCCTTTTGTGCTGTTTGAAGTCTTTGCAGTTCTTTATTCATGGCTTGGAGTTTCTTTTCATATTCTGACTTGATTTTTTTTGCCTTTTCTTCTGAATAGGTCTCTACAGAACCTAGAGCAAAAAGAAGTGCTTAATCTGCTTTTGTTCAGGATATTTTCACTTTGCCAGCCACAGCAGATGACTGCTTCCTCTGCCTTTAGCATTATCTGCAATATCTTTGAACAACTGTATTTGTTTCTAGCTCCTGTCACCTGCACTGCTTCAAACTTTCCACTTTGTATGTCTTCTTGGATAAAAGACCAAGTATTAACACTTTCCTTCTGATTTTTTTTTCACTAAATATCTGATTACATGAGGACACAAATGCAAAAATGCTTATTCACACATAACGACAGTCCCAAGAGCCATCAAGGCTAGTATACCTTTTCTGGCACTGATTAAAAGGAAAAGTCTAAGGAACAATAAGGGAACAGCAAAAGCACAAAAAGTACATAACTATAAAGCATATATAGTACATTTTTAAATAGAAAGAAACAAACAAAACACTTCCCCCAGTACTCTCCCAAAGTTCAACTGTTTGTGGCTTAAGACTTCCCGAGCCAGAGCTAGTTTTTTGCCTCAAAACAATTACATCTTCCAAAGGGTTTGGTCAGTAAAACAGCTCTGCAAGGCCACTGCTGCTAATTCTTACTTTTATGCAAATCAAAAGAAAGGAGGGAGGCAGGAGTGCAAAAGTACTTTTAATTCAGGAACTGTCTCAAGGACTATGTTGAAATAAGAGCTCCAAGAGAATTGAAAATGCTTATTCAACCAAGACAAATACCTGTTAGTAGCAGTATCTTTTTTAAAAAAATCTCTCAATTCTGGTAGAAACTAGAATGAGTAAAGTATGATTCACTGGCATTATGGGTACAAACCTATTTCTGTTTTCTGCAATTCCTTATCACAAAGGAAGTGAGGGAAGTAGCAAAGAATTCAATTTTGTTATTTTACATAGCATCTACACTTAAATTATTTTGTACTTCTTACCCAAGTTTTGAAGAACCTGATCTCTTTCAAGCTGAGTGTCTCGAATCTTATGTTGTAGCATCATTAATTTCTCTTCATATTGTTTTTTCAGTGTTTGCAACCTTCGCTGGCTGTTCTCTAGCTCATCTATCAGTTTCTGCTTAATGGCTATTTCACAGGTGATGTTTGCCAAGTCAGCTTGGTAATTTTCTAAAATAAAAAGATTTGAATAATTAAAAATTAAGGTTTTGGTTAAAGTAACAGTGAAGATCCCATAACTAGAGATACGCTTTGCAAGTTAGGGTTAGGTTAGGGTCAATTTCCTGACAGGTAAATTGTGCATAGGAGAATTCTACACAAAGCACAATGCAGCAAGTGAAACTACTATCTGCAGTTCATTTTAAATTCTCCTCTTTAAACACTCTCCCATCCTAGAACTGGGAAAGAGGTAGGAAAGATGTCTCATTGGATCATAGTTGCCCATATGTTGTAATTCCTCACATTTAAATCTCAACAGCAGCAATCTGTCCTTCCTCATACAAAAGCTGCACAGGCTGTGAGACTTCAGTCACATCTCAGGGCTGGAGAATAACTGTCATTCATAAACCCAGCAGATTATAAAAGGAAAATTTGACTGCTAGCAAACTCCAAGGGGAGACTTTCCTTTCTCTAGTTCTTAGAAAAACATAGTCAAAATACTGCGAAGAAAGAAGCCACCTCAATCATGGAAGTAGAATGGTGAAGAGAATGAGAAAAGTAGGAGGAAAAAGTAAGGAAAAAGGACTAACCCACACACTAAATTTATAAAAGTTTAATTAATTTCTTTAGTCAATTACATCCTTTTTGGCTTAAGATTATGTACTCCAGAATAACGATGTCAGTTGAGGTTTGGGGGATTTTTTTTCCCCAGGTTCTGCAACTCCTGCTAATGGTTTGTGTGACTCTTAAACAAGAAGGAACCAACAGACTTGGTTTGCCCACTTGGCCCAACTCAGGTGACAGAATTGCTGTTGATGCTGTCTCTGACTCTAGCAGTCCTAATTTACATACCACATGTAAAACAGCTGTTAATGCTCCTAGATAAAGCCACAGCCTCTGAAAATTAGGAAGACTGATGGACTTTGAGCCTTTCAAAACTAAATTCTACCCATTCTCTGAATGGGAGCTATCACCTTGGTGATTAGTTCTGAGACACAAAAATAATCCAGTACTTAAACTTTACACTTTTCTTCCTTAGTTAGGATATCCAATGTGTTACCATACATCTGATGGCCTCTGGTCAATTTCAAAGCCAGTATGGGGACACCTGATCACATGGATATTACATGTTTTAGCACCATAACAAAAAAAGAATTCACTGGACGCACGCTCCACAGAGAATTATGGACAGTGGGTTGACAGCACACTATCTTGCCTACCAAAACCCAAGGAATGACAGATAATGTCTGTAAAATTCTACACAATATGGCACTGACATCACCTTTCTCATCAGAGTCAGAATCTGATTCATCTGAGCTTTCAACAACCTCCATGTCATCTTCATCCTCATCATCATCATCATCTTCATCCTCATGATCACTTACTTCCTGAATTTCCTCCTACAAAATGTAAAAAATAGAAAGATGTTGAAGCATGCCCGCATTTTCCATCCCTAAATCACTTGTGACTATCGCTGTGAAGCCACAGTATTCACCTGACCCATTCCTAATTTCCATTCTATAACCTTATAATTCTTTAAACAGATAATGAACAAATAAACCAAACACTTCTAAATACTTACTACTTCCAATTCATTATTCTCTCTCTCCGAAGTGCCTTTTTCATCTCTCTTCTCCTGCTCATTATCTGTGTTATCCTCTTTAACACTAGCAGAAGAGGAGCAGACACAAAATAGTCACTAACTGAAATGGTATGTGCTTCCCATCCCCCAAACCAGTAAGTTATAATTACAAATAAAGATGAAAAACAAAGTGTAATTAGACAAAGGCACAAGTGTTGGGCATGGGTAAAATACAACTCCCAATCTCCTGCAGATAATAAAATAATGCTTAAATACTCCTAATCTTAGCTTGCAAAACAATATTAATGATTAGCAGATTGGTTTAGGGCATATTGCAAAACTAAGACAATCAGAATATGCATCTTCACCTATTACAGCAGTCCTCATTTTGCACGGAAGCTGCAGTGTACCCAGAATAGCTTTTACAAACAAAGACAGAACATTTTGTGCAAGTACAACATACAGTATAGATATCATTACACTCTCAAGCCGTAACAGAGCCTTGTGTGCTTACAATCATCTGAAAATTTATGTATAAACCTTATAACATGATAAAATAAGATACTGTTTAACTGTTCTTTTGATCAGTTATCAACTTTGACATCAAGGGAATGCTTCAAATAGGCACTGATACAACAGAGTCTAGAAATAATGAATTTTTGCAATAGGATTGTCTGTCTCAAAAAGAAACTTTTCCCAGCTATTAAGATCACATTTTAGTACATTTCTATATTTTTGTTTCTCAGACTATGGTTCTAAACTTATTTAAAAGTAAAGTATCTCTATATTCTTTCCTCTCTTGGTAAGCTGAACTGTAGTGATGGCTTATGCAAATTACAGCAGGGGGTTTTTCATTTTGGTTTAAAGGTTTGGTGTATTAAACACTAGAACAAGTTTTAACATTTTCAAGTGCACATTTGAGATATCACATGCAAATGTAAAATTCAGAAAATCAATGGTGCTCTGCCAATTGTCATGGACCAAACATCAGTCCCTCTAGCACTACAAGTGCAAAACCCAAACCATCCCCAAGAGATGGGAAATTGTGATAGAACAGGGCTAGACACCATAGGAGGTAATAACGAAAACATGTGGTTAGGATTGCATAATGTGGAATCCACTTGATCTAGCTTCAACTGCATAAAAGTTTGGCAAGTTATGACATCAGTGCTGTCACTGTTCAGGCAGAGTAACTAGAAATGCACATCTTCCTCCACTGATGTCAAAAAGAGCTCAGACTCAAGGTCTAACTCTTAGACAAATCCAATACTCAGTGCAGTGACAAGAAGTGTTCAGTAGATTCAGGACACTGATGTGGCAAGTGACACCTAAAAGCCACCTTTAAAACAGAGCTGTACTCTGAAGCTATCAGTTAAGTGACACAGTGCTTCTGCGCACACACTATTTTTTGTTAGATTTTTTAACTTTTTCCTTCTGCCCCACTCATCACAAATGAAACTGAATCCAGCTCCAGCTGACCATGCACAAGGCAGAAAGCTTTTGCTTGGACTGTCTGAATCCACACAGAAGCTGGTGAGGCTGCAAGTAAAAAGCCTAACCAGATTTGTACAGAAAACAAATGCCAGACAAGGAACACTGAGCCACATAATCTCATTTCCACAGATACTCATCTCACTCAGTCCACAACATGTTCTCTTTTATGTTGGCTAATAAGCCTAAATGATAACAGATCTTAGCTGCAATCTTCATGCAAATTGAGGCAAATCCCCAGTTTCCCTTCTGCCTGCACATAGCATGGAGCTCACCACTGCAGAGAATTTGTGTTCTGCCTAATAAAGGGAAGAGACAGGAGGAAGGAGAGCCAGCAGCTCTCCCAGGCAGAACTGTACTGCTTAATTTTTGTGCTACTGATCTGTGGATTCACATCATCTGCATGAGTTCAGTGGGGTTTTCTTGGATCAAAGTAAAGTAAACAGCTGAAAAATAAAAGCTCCTTTACTTTCATTTTTAGTGACAGTGTATTTCTCTTTTTAGACCCTCAACTGCTCTCTATGAATAACTACTTCATCTACTGCTTTGTCTGAAACTGAACAAAAGGAATGGTCAAGGCTTCAGTCACATGCTTTCAAAAATAAAAGCAGCAGACTTAACTGAGGTGTAAAGGTCCAAGACCTTCCTGATCTCACATGCCAAAGTTATTATTGTTGTATACTACCTGCTGTACATTTCATAGCATATGTGCTACTTTGCCTTTTTCCTGCCTTTCATTCCATACAAGCCATGCAAGAAAGAAATCTACTTAATTCTACAGCAATTCTCAAAGGCACCACCTCCCCACAAAACCTTGCTCACAGTGCAATTCCAGTCAACCTCAATTCCACAACAGAGGTTTCTTCCAGTTAAAATGCTTGTTGAAAGTCTAAATACAGGAAAGAATTTTGAAAAGCCAAATGAACCACTCTTGAGGTATCTATGAATCTGCCCAACTTCTTTTTATGTGTGACAACCAGTTAATTGAAATTACAGGTAATTAAAAACCTGGAAAATATTCCAACCTTCTTTCTTCTTGACTGCTTTCCTCAAGTTTCTGTAGCCTTCAAAAGCACGAGGTACAGTATTGGAAGGCCAAGCCAATGAAGGACAAAACAGACAGTGAAAAGCAAAAGTGATAAGAAGGTAAAAAAATGATATATGAGCTTGTGGAGTTTAAAATTAAATTTTAAAAGATACCATAAAGAGACAACAAGTAGTAAAAAGGCAATACATTTTGCATAGTTGGAAAGTAAATAGAAAACAAAGAAGCAGCATTTATAGGTTAACTAATCTGTCACTGTCAACAACTGTAAATTCAAGTTACACTAAAGAAGAAATTATAGATATAGACAACATATTTCACTTTGAGAATTATTTCTAATATGAATTAAAAAAAAATAGTTCTATAAAAAACTTTCTCCTCTTTTGCCACTTAAAACTGGCAGGGAAAATAATGAAAATTGCAAGAAGTACTGCCATTGAACCAAAGTTATATATTCTCAGGAATGTATCAGGAAAAAAAGCAATGCCCTAGTTTTATATATGTTGATAACATATTGTAATATAATATTAATGAGAAACTTTTAGTACTAATATTCTAAGACACATATTCTGAATATAATTCATATAAAAATCTTCAAACTGTATTTCTTTTTTGGTTTGTGGTTTTGTTGTTTGTTTTTAAATAAAAAGCAGAAAACCAGTTTATTTTTCTGGGATTCAAAAAGTACATGCCAATGATTGCTTTTTATTTTTTAATAAATTAACAAAAATTATGCATCAGAGCAATGAGATGGACAAAGTGTTAGTATTTCAACTTGTATTTTTTCCTCTTGAGTAAATGTGGATGTATAAGAAAAGTCTGCATGACTTATATAAGCGTGGAGATGGCTTAAATTTCAACAACTACTGAAATTCCTCATGTTCCAATTATGAGCAAGTTTTGAGCAAGAGCTTTTGCTGCCTTTTCACCTTATACTGCCTGCCATCTTCCTTCAGTATCAGCTAGGAGCTAACATGCTGAATCCCATGTAGTTTTATCACTAATTTAGTTTAATAAAGGTTAGGGAAGTCAAAATACAACAGTCAAAAAAGGTTACCAGGATTAAGGATTGAAAGGAACATGTGAGGTTTGATCTAGGGCTTCTGGTGAGTATATCACACTTTGGGACACCCAAGTCAAACATGTCAGTATTTCAGTAGCCAAAACATTACTGGTGTGTAAATTATTTCCAATAAATTTTATGACAGATGCTTATTAAAGGCTACAGATATATAGCAGTACATACCTGCTGCTCATTCAGAAACTGGGTCTTAGGTCTTCAGGCTAGCTCACAGCAATTTAGGTAAGTTGCATGTATTTAAAATTATGCACCTTTCAATACACTGACCCACAACCAGGAAACAAACAGATCAAGAAAGCTAGCAGATGGGGCAGACCTAGTACCTAGGCTTATCGATCCCATTTTAATAGGAAAATGCTAGTTAGACAACTTCCAAAGAACATCAGCCCTAAAAAGAAATAGTACAGTAAAAGCAGCTAAATGCCTGTTGAAGACAGAAGTAGAGCAAAGAATCCCTACCAAACTGCAGGGTAAATTGTCCCTTTGCAATACCTGAGCATACCCGCTGCCAGTTCCTGAAACTTCGATAGAATAAAAATTTTCAGTGATATATCCTGAACACAGACTTTGCATTTCATTAATTAGATAGAAGCACTCTGCTGGTAACAAATCTGACAGGCTATATGCATAATTCTTCAAATTCTTACATTTCATAACTTCTAAGGAATTGTTCTCCTAACATATGCACCCCAGAAATTTATAAATATTTACTACAAAGCAGTTTGCAGATGGGCCAGTAGATAAAGAGTCCAACCTTACCAGCACTTTGAGGAGTATGATCCCATTCTATAGAACACGAGATCCTCTTTAAGATGGAGGCTGGACCATCAAGAGGTCTCTTCCAACTTAAATTTTTCTATAGTTCTCTAATTCTATAATGCTAGGATAGAAAACTGATCTCAAAAATAGTTTACGGTAAGTAGTTTCTACTTCTGGATCAGACCACTTGGCTATCTCATTCACAAGATTATTGTCCTGACATGAGCAAGCATCACTGGATACAGAAGCTTCTTTCAGAAAAAACAAACAAACAAAAATAACAACCATGTGTTTTACTACTGTATGTAGGGTAAAACTTCCAAATGTTTATCTTAAAGTGATCACCTCCTAAAATAAGAGATATTACTCAGTATATCTAGAAATCTTTATCTCTCACAGTCCTGTCTGCTACCTAATACGAAGGCCCCAGCCTAACAACTGGGGCTCTATCTAAGCATGTATTAAATCACATGCTTGATTTTGAAGCGTGTTGAAACACACAAAATCAAATCTCTGTTCTTGCATCTACATTTAAAGAACTTATTGAAGTGTCTGGCTGAAGAAAAGCCAGAACATTCTGCTGATTTCATTTAATACTTCCATCCTCACCCCTACAAACATGAGACAAAAATCCTCATAAAAGTTTAAGAATTTCCTGAAAAATTATACGCAAAGCAAGAATCTAGTTGTTATTAAAATAAGTGTTCTCTACAAGTATCAGATGTTTGTGTACTAATCAGATTTATAGATATAGGACCTCAAATTACAGTAATCACTAAATCAAATCTACTTTATACTTCAACTATATTTCAGGCTTATATTGGTTTAGTTTTACTCTTAAGTTGTAGAAGAAGTCTGAAGGGCCATTAGTAGAAAGAGTAATAGATTAGAAGTATGGAAAATTTCAAGGAAAAGGGAAAGATCTCCAATAGAATCAAAGTCTTGGAGCACATAAACAGATCCTTGCTGTACTAACCGCTGTCTGAACAGGCATTTATATCAATGTATATGAGCATTTTAGTAGATGTGAAGTTGGACAGCAGAAAACAGCAAAGCATGATGTTGCAGAGAATTAGGAAATCTCAAATTAAAAACATTAATAAAAGCAGAAGATAAAGCAAAAGAAGCCATTCCAAGAGCTACCAAAGAATTCCCAGCTATTCATTCCAAATATCTTTTCTTCAGAAAGCTGTTTCAGTTTTGCCATATGGTAGAAAAATTTTTCAATTTTTGTTTTTGAAAACGTCTGTTGAATTTCAGATGCATTTTTTAAAAAATTTTTTTAAATATCAAAATTTATGGAGAGGACCTGTGTTTTTACCGTTGTGCATGATTATATAGTAAAATTCATCGCAACAGAGAAATACAAATAAAGCATACTTCACTGGAAGAAAAGATGCAAAAAGAAAAACACCTATAACTTCAATGTGTAAAAGGGTTTGAACAAACAGCGGTTTAGGATCCAAACCCACACAGAAACAACGAATTAATTTTAAAGTCTCAGCAGTTAAAAAAATACTGCTTCTTTACTAATAAAGGTAAAACAAATAGCACTATAATTCATACACCACCTCTTTTTCTTTTTCCTTTCTTTTCTTTTCAGCTTTTCTAGATCTTTCTTGGCTATATCTAGAATTTCCATTGTCTCTTTCTCTGAAGAAATCATAGAAGCAGAAAATGCTGATGGTCCACCAAAGTATGTGGATCTTGTTGAAGCTCTTGACAAGTTGCGTCGAAGATTTTCATTCACTGCTTCACTTTCTAATAATTTTGCTCTTAAAAAAAAAAATAAAATTGTAGACCATGAATCCAGGAATCACAAGTATTGCTAATGCATGAGATGTATACTCTTTAGCATCTGTAACAGCAATGTATTATTTTTCAGTTAAAAGAGAAAAACCTACAAACCACAGTGCACAGGGAAGTCTCACAAAGCACATGTAGTAAATCCCTTGACAAGATCATTTTACACAGGTTATGTAGATTGTATATATATCATATACCCCTGACAGAATAAATATAAATGTCTTTATAAATATACACACAGATATATATCTGCATACACCATATGTATATACACATTGCATGAAGGCTACATAAAAGCTCTAACACTAACTGGGAATAGCCAGATAATTTTTTTTGTGTGTGATACACCTTCAAGAAGTAGAGAAATAAAAATATCTAAAATACTTAATACTTTTTTAATTTAAAAAGAAAGAAAGCAGATGCTTTTTTTTTTAACACTAAAATGTAACAGTAATTTCTCGGTACTATCATTTATATATGAGGTTATGAAGTTATAAAACAACTGTTCCAAGTTTTGCTGTCCTTTGTGCAACAATACCAAGTTATCATCATTATTTAGGCAACATCTTACTTTCATTTCTATTGTCAATTTAATTTTTAACATTTTAATTTTTTGTGGCCAAGAGCAACACCAGATGGTCCTAGAAGCTGAAGGAGCACTGTCCTAAAGTAACCACCACACATTTTTTTTTTTAATAAAAATTGTTCAAATACAATACATATTATGCAAATACCTGAGATCTTCAATTTCCTTGATATAATTATGAATCATGTTGCTAATTTCTTCATTTCCTTCTCCTTTGAAGGACAAAGAAAAAAGGGGGGTGGGGGAAAAGAAAGATTGAGAAAGGACAGTAACAATATAAATATCTGAATACAGCTACTAGGCACAAGGTACCAGCAAAGAGAACCAGTCACATGGGCTATGTTTAGATCTTAGTTGATTTATAAAATATATTTCCTCCCTAAAATGCATTAAGTTTTTGGTTCCTCTGCATCACACAATCAAGATTATTACAAGGAACTTTTTCTATTTCATTTGTTTTCCCTATTAGCACCTTTTAACAATGCATGTATCATAAATCAGAGGTAATTTGACAAACAGTGCACAAAAAGAATAATGCAGTCATTGGAAGTCAATTGGTTGATTATTCTATGAGGCAAAAAACAAGCCAACATTCACCCATCTGTGTCTAGGTCCTCATCAAAAGCAAAATATTTAAGTCCACTAATAGCTAAGCATACAAGTAATTCCTATCCAAAGGTGGTATTTCACATTTTGTGTAGCTCATAGTACTAAATGAATGGTCAAATCAGGGCACCAAACTATTTCTATTAATAGAAGTCTCCAGAAACAGAGGAAAGAATCAGATGGGGGCCTATCCTTGCCAAAGCGGGTCCTACATTACTGTTACAAAGGTATCACTTCATTCTAAGGGACCCATGAATCAAGAACACATACCTGATTTAAGCTCACAGAATCACAAAATGGTTTGGGTTGGAAGGGATCTTTAAAAGTCATCTAGTCCAACCCCCCTGCAGTGAGCAGGGACATCTTCAACTAGATCAGGTTGCTCAGAGCCCTGTCCAGCCTGACCTTGAATGTTTCCAGGAATGGGCTTCTACCATTTCTCTGGGAAACCTGTTCCATTGTTTCCCCACCCCCATCGCATTTTTTTTTTTCCTTATACCCAGTCTAAATACACCCTCTTTTAGTTTAAAACCATGACCTCTTGCAACAAGCCATGCTAAAAAGTTTGTCCCCATCCTTCTTATAGGTCCCCTTTAAGTATTGAAAAGCTGCAACATGGTCTCCCTAGAGCCTTCTCTTCTGAAGGCTGAACAACCCCAACTCTCTCAGCCTTTCTTCGTAGGAGAGGCGTTCCATCCCTCTGATCATTTTTGTGGCTGTCCTCTGGACCTGCTCCAACAGATCCATTTCCTTCCTGTGCTGAGGAAGAAATGAACTTACGAAGCAGTTTACACACAACACACTCGTAGCATACCTGCTCTGGCTAGCACTTGGTTGGCCTGATCACTCATAAGTTGCGTTATTCTGGCTCTCAGTGCATCGATAGTCTCTTGCATTGCTTTAATTCTAACACGCAGGTTGTTGTTTTCTGTTTGCAGCATCGCATTTTCATGGAACATGTCATTGATGCTTTCAACACCATCTTCATCTATAATCCTTTTACCCTTAAGAAAGTAAATATATTTTATTACTAGGAAAAGGTGACTTATTCATAGAATATTTTAACTTAGCAAAGGCAATCCACATGACTTGAAATTCCAAACAGACACTTATAGCAAACGATAATATTTTCTGAAAAAAGTTTAAAACAATGGATAAATGGATAGTCTGGCAAACACCTTATCATTTGGGTCCCGTGTAATTCCATCTTAGTCTGAAATACAAGTTCTTGAAGAGGTTAAGAAATCAGAAGACAATTCTTTATCAAATCAGGATATTATCTCAAGGATAATAAAGGAGGAAGACACTCTTTGGTAACCACATTTATTGCTGAAAACATTGTTTAAAATTTCAGGAAGAAATTAGCATAGTGCAGTACGAGTACTCACCTTACATAATTTAAAACATTTTTTAAAGTAACACAAACTGTTTTAGCTATCTAGTAAGTTTTCAAAAGCAATACACGGTAACTGTACACATTCATTTATGCACCAATCTAAATTGTGGTCATTTTTGCTTTGGAAGTGACTATTTATCATTGCTAAGCATGACAAGGTCAATTTTTGCCTTTCGAAAAGCAAATAGCACACAGCATCTGTTGATGTCATTGGCATTCATTCAGTTATCTTTTCTGCGGTGATGCAACCTCAGTTTTCTAAAAACATCTGTTAACCACTGGAATTAGAAGTGTTATAGGGTTGCTATTCAATTTTTTTTAATTTATGAAGTCAAAGTAGCAAACAGCAAAACAAGTTGTAGAACTATAAGCATTTTAAAGCAGAAGAAATCCCAAAACTTACCGTTTTGTATTCCATGAGTTCCATCTGTAGCCGTGCAATCTCACTGCGCAAAGCATTTATTTGCTGACTAGCCCTATCCTGATTAACCATCACCTTGTTCTTGATGTTCCGCGCCCGGTTGGCATACTTTAACGTGTTCAAGGTTTCCATGAAGTCTCTATCTGAAGGGCTCACACATGCTATCATGAGCGTTTGACTGGAAGTTAGAAACATAGGTCAGCATCACACATTAAGAACAAAAAGAGCAGAGAGAAGCTAATAGGTGTTCAGGTAGAAAGTGAAACAAGAATAGTGACTTCATAACATTTGTGAAAATATTCCTCAATCTAACTCACAGCAGAAGACTCTCAGCACTGTTACATCTTGTATCAGCCTAGCATAGCCTAGGAGATGCTAGATCATTAATTGTTCTACATGCAAAATTAAAAAAGCAACTAATTGTTGTTCCTGGAAATGTTTTTCAAATTATATTCAGTTTACCTAATCATACATAAACTGAGATTTAAGAAATTAAGATCAACCTAAAATCCTAGATAGTGATTTTGATCATGCAGTTGTCAGGGCTGCCTACTCTAACTACTGAGGTGTCTACCTACTTAATCTAGGAGTTGCCTGAATGCTCATCTTAGATGCCCATGCATGGACACACAACTGCCTAAGGTACTTATTGTCTACCTCGGGTTCTACCAAGATCCAAACTGCCTGAATTCTCCACTGCAAATTATCTCCTGTTCTCCAACAGAAGTCCAAAAGCTAGAACTTACCCTTAGTACATCTGGCTATAACTGTATTTATTCCATGTTTCATAACACCACTGCTTAGAGCACTTCCACAAAAAGGAGCAAGACCTGAGCTCTAGGCCCAAGAGGGCTATGAACAACATCTTACTTTTGGGTGCCTACAACACCCACTAGTCATCCCATCATGCAATATGTAGGGTGAGAACATACTCCCTGCTCCAAATGAAAGACTGAGCAGACAGACCAGCAAAAATTAGTGGGACAAAAGCAGAAAAAGGGCAAAAAAATTTTTCATTCCAAGTGGCTTCATCATTCAACAGGCAGATGGAAGAACCAGGGTCTCTTCCCTCACTCCCTGGAGCATACTTATTTCACATCAGATAAGATAAGCCTAGAGGGGTCAGAACTGGAGTTCCAGCCACAGATCATACTCTGAAGGTTCCTACATGGCCTAACTCTCAACATGTGGGGAAAACACCTGCCTTTGATGGACTGAGTACTCCCCTCCAGGCTTTAGAGGAACTTGCTAGTCTGTTGTATGTTAAAGCTGAGGTGCTTGTGTTAGGATGAATACACTGTCTCCAGGGCAATGGAGCAGTATCTGCCTTAGGTGGACCAGATTCTGAGCTTCACTTTCTATGATTTCAGACTGAGACAAACATATGAATTCCTGCAACCCTTTGTGAGGCAAATAATTACCTTCACCGTACACACTGGGAAACTAAACTGGAAAGAATAACTAGCCTGAGGATACAAGGAAGATTCAGTTTCAGCAATTCTTCCTCAGACCTCCTACATCCCTTTGAGTCAGTTCTCAAAACCGTTTTGAGTTGTGCCCTCAAGATAAGAATACGCAAGGTCCTACATCCCTTTGAGTCAGTTCTCAAAACCTTGAGTTGTGCCCTCAAGATAAGAATATGCAAGACTAAGAACAATTTTTTAATTCTGACATCAGGAGTGCTTGTGCTTTCAGTTGAGAAAGTGTTTACTTTTCTAAATCTCAGAGGACTGGTTCTACTACGTGTCTGTCTTGAGAACTGAACAGCTTGAACTCCACTGTCCTATCTGAATTGTATAATGGAAGAGTTTTTTTAAAAACTGTTCTACTCTTTTTATTTTACCACTTCTTTAAACTGCTCCTCCCATCCCAAGTTTTCATTTTTCATATAAGTTATAAAAATCCTTTCCAAAAATATCAATACTCCATATTCTTACTCGAATAATCCAAGAAACATAAATATTTAAATACTGCTTCAGAACTGTTCCAGCATTACATTTAAATCTGGATGATGGTGAGAATAGTACAGTGATACAATGCTTTCAACACTGTTAACTCAGAACTCACTGCAATCTAACCTGAATCACTACTAGTAAATTGTATTAATATGTATAACTCTTCCTTAACAGCAAACTTCTAATTTGACATGTCTCAGCATGTATATCACACAAATAAAAATAGGAGAGGGGGTGTCCACAAATTTTACATCAGTCAGAAACAGACAGAAAGAATATATCTGAACATCCTTGAAAATGCTCTGGGACAGCATTTGCTATCTGTCCACTGTACACTAAACGATGCGATTTCTTCCAAAGAACAGGAGGGGGAGAAGTGGAGCTGCAAGATGGGAAAATATTTTAGAGTCAGTATTTCAACAGGAGTGCAATTTTAGAAGTGGTTTGAAAAAAATGCTCATTAGCTAGTGTACTTGATATCAAAGTTAGCCAAGAAATGCTATCTGTAGTTATTTCCAGAAAGAGCTTAGAAGACCTATGTTCTTGATTTCTGCTTGATTTTTTCCACAACTCTTGAGTTTCTTCCTCCGTTAAGCACTTATGAAAATTCTAGGCTTTTACTTGTTTTGTCTGGCTTTTTGCTTTTCCTCACTCTGCAGTGCTGCAAGGTGTTACTAAAGTTCTCTCTCTGCAGAGCAGAACAACAATTTGAGAATTATCTTCTACTTCTCACTATTCCTTTGTGAAATGCCCAGAAAACTTCCTGTCCTCCTAAAAATAGCAGACAGTCATATTGGATTAAATAGAGGAGTAAGAGTACTATCTTACTAAAATATATTCAACTATGGTCCCTTTTGTATTTGTACATATTAATGTTACAAATACAAAATTTGTATCATTTTAATGAATTTGTTCTTGTTAGCTTAGACAAAGCTTCCAGAGGCCAAAGCCTCTCTTCCTTGTGTATGCCATAGGTATACAGAACAGGTTCATAAAAACAATTCCGGTGATACACTAGTTTGTCTTTGCTAGGCTCTAATCCAACCACAGTTAACTGGATAAATGCACCACACTGAAGCATACAACCTTCACAAAAAGATGACAGCTGACTCCAAGCTCCTGTGCATGGCAATCAGAGCAAAAAAGTTAAGTGCCATGGAAAAAAAAAAAAAAAAGAAAAAAGAAAAAAGTAACAAATTCTGAAGGAGAAACTCATCACAGCTTTAAACTATGCTGTAATTAGTAAGGCTATAACACAATAACAAAATTTACCATTTATGCTATCTACAATCTAAAGATGTCTTCACAGAAAGGACTTGTCCTGGAAACGGTAACTTCTAAGTAACTCAAAGCTTCATGTCTAGTAAAGCCACTAAAAAGAACAATGCAAAAATCCTCTTTAAAACGTTTCCCTGCATTGCCAGCGTTTTCTGTCATGACAGTAATTTATCTTCGGAACCTCCCTCCAATGAAAAGAGTGAGTATTTTTATTATTGTTTAATGTTTATTTTATTTTCTGAAGATTGTGTGCTCATTCATAATTAAATACATAAAATGTTCTAGTTTTCATACCTGTTTCCCCCAAGAGAGTCTTGAAGTAGTCTCGTAAGCTTTGAATCTCTGTATGGTACATGAGTTGCTTTCTTACTTTTATCTCCCAGCGCGCTTATTACATTGCCAAGTGCAAGCTATAAAACACCAAATCATGTAACGCACAAGTTACAAGCAGTTCCTGAGTAGTTTCATTTTTAAAACAGCTATAATATGGGGTCTGCATATTATGAAAAAATTAACATACTCATGAAAGTTAACATAAAATTTTATGACGATTTTTACAGTTGACATTTATAAACTTTGGTGCTATCAACAGTGAATCAGATGACTTGCAGTCTAGTATCTGCAAGTGCTAAGTGTTTAGCAGAATTTGTGTGTACTGTCTATTGATGTTTCATATCACTCACAAACTAAAGTCAGAAAAACTTCATGTAAAAAACATTTACTTTCAATAGTTATTAAAGCTGATCTCTACTTCTAGCAGTAGCTATATTCTTTTATAAATTAATTTTATTCATCGGTTTTATGCTAGATTTAGCATAAAATATAAGGCATTAATATGAAAAAAACCCAGAATTTACTAGTTCTACAGATATGAAATAAGTAATGTTTGATGATGATTTAAGCATTTAAGGCTTGAAACTGCGTAGTCCATACTATTCTATTTTATTGCTAAAAGGGTCTAATTCATGTTTATAAACAACCTAACAGTTGGCTGTAAAATTATTTTTAACGTGCAACTGTATGTACTTCAATCACTTGCCAAATTAAAGAACATTCCTCTAGAGGGCACCCTGTACAGACAGTTCTTAAGTCTTGAAAATGGCCTTACTGCATCCAGCAGTTGAAGAACTGTGTATACACCACATTCTGTCACTGCTTTGAAGTTTTTTTACTCACTTTCAATCTCTTTCCAAAGCTGAGGGCTGGTATTCACTGTAAATGAAAGTTCTGCGATCATATAAAGTATTATTTTATCACACTGATCTTCACCTTTGTGCATTCTGTATCCTATTTGGTAAGGGTACATCTGTATCATCTAAACCACTAAATTTCTGTTGTCTTTATGCTATATCAATGATGAAATTGAACTGAATTCTCTCTCTCTCTTTGATTTAACATAACCAGAATAACTACAGAATATAACCACTGTCATGATGACAAGAGAATCACTAAGAAAGTTCTAATTGCAGAATACCTTTCTGGTACTACACACTACACTAGAAAAAAGACATGTTTTCACATATAAAATAAACATGTATTTTTGCATCTTTAAAAGAATTGCACGCATAGCCAAGTAGCTCAAAACAAAGGCATGAGACTATAATCTCCACTGAAAATCATCAGCTCTACCTTTCACTATGGTTAAATAAATGTTAAGTAAAACATTAAATACAGTTCATTTTAAAAAATAAAAAACTAACCCTACATAGATAGCCAGTACATAGAAAAAAAAAGTGAAGATGTTATAAATTAAAAATTTTATTTCTACTTAGAAGTGTTTTGCCTGGCGTTGTTTTACCTTATGTTTCATCATTATAACAAAGAACCAGCATTTATTGATCAATTAAGCTTATTCATTGCCCACATTTTATATGCCTCTACCCCTTGCAAATCACTTGTAATGTTCTCCAATTGTTTGGGTCTTGACAGAATAAAAAAAGTGAAAAGAACTCTACAATATCTTTTAAAAGTTAGAGTAATTAACTATATTTCACAACAGTTATAAGTAATATAATTTGCTAGAGTCTAGTACAACCAAGGAAACATTAGCAAGCTAGAACCCAGTAAGAATCAATACTTCTGTTACATCTCAAGCTACAGTCCTCGTTTTGCTCATGATGCATTTCTACTTTAGAGATTACTAAAAACAAGTGATTCAAAAAGGAAGAGAAGATGGTACCAACAGGCTACAGAAACAAGTTGCATAGTCTTACTAGTCCACAGTTGATGGAAATGCCTTCTTTTGCCCTTTCTCCTGTAGCTCCCGTTCGCTTTAACCTTTCAGATCCCGCTAGGTCAACAAAATGGAATTTGGCTGTAAGGGTTTCATATTCATTCATCTCAGAAGATTCAGATATTATCCTGTTATCAGTTGCATTATCCTGAAATAAAAAAGAACTCAAAGCCTGGTAAGATCTTTCACATTAACATTTATCTACTGCAAAGTTCAATCAACAATTATTTACAAGACTACCTATTTGTCATGTCCACCTCCTTCCTTATTAACTCATTCTCTTATAACAACAGTATCTCTCAAAGAACTATCTCCATTTCAATCATATGTACTAACAGATCATTCTTAAAGACCCAGCTCTACATGCATGTGAATACCAGTTACTTTAAGTATGAGCTACAACTGTTTCTTGATGGAGGAACAGGGGAATACATATATTAAAATATGCAAGCCATCATCAAGGTGGGAAACAAAATTTGTACCTCTCCTAGAATGTGTTAAATCAATTGTCAAAGAAAAATTATTTTTAAAAAATAATTATTATTTTATTATTACCCCCCAAATTATCAGACTCCGTTCACAAACTGGCCAAATAACTGAAAGATATTTTGATTTTCTATCTCTCTAATCCCCATCATTAGCTTTCCTGTGGTGCAACTTTTCAACTTTATTTAAGGACTATTTTTTTTAAGCCAGTTTTCCTAGCAGCCAGTATTACACCAGCACTTCTGACTTGACCAGAAAATAAAGACAGCAGGGGGAACAAGGGAGAAAGAAGAGGTTCCTTTTTCCCTCCCATCCCCAGTAAGCTGTAGTGATTGGCTGGCACTTGTTGTGTTCCTTCATCAGTGCAGAGAGTCTGCCCAGGAATGCACTGCCCTACGGGCAGGTACCATAGCCTCAGCCTCTTTCCACTTCACGTCCCAAAGTTGTTATTCTTCATTAGATAATACCAAGCTTTCTTCTGTCAATTAGTGTAGCTCTACCATATACCGTGGAGCTTTATTTCACTCTAAGTGTAAGTTAGACTTGTCAGGAAAGCAATACTGAATGGGAAAAATCTTTAAATCACTTACTTCTTGACCTTCCTGGCAAGATACCCATTGCAGAGCAATTTCTACTTACTTGCCATGGTGGCATGTAATAGGCGTATACTGAGTGTATACAGGATATATAACATATTTGCACAGCCCAAGCTACAGGTCTTGCTAGGAATTTCTATTACAGTAAGCATAGATTCTTCTTTTTTTCTTTACAAAAAGCCACTCTCAAGTATTACATGGCAATGATCTTTATGCCCTTGGTCAGCTAGCCCACAGCCCCCTTCACTACTGCAAGGACTAATGCACGTCTGCAGACGAAACCATTCTCATGGTAGTTAAACATTTCATGCTTCTTATGTGATCTCATTTTGTAGCAGTTTCACAAGAGAAGAGGAGTTGTGCCACCTCCACAAGACCAGAAATCACTCTCTCTGATATTTTGACATTTACACTGCTGGAGACTACACTCTCTTTCCCAGCCCTCAGAGTAATGATTAGGGCATCCTTTCACTCTCACTTACTTAGAAAGTCAAATGTACACGCAGAAACTTCCCAGAAGCATGAATGGCGTGAACACAGTGCAAGGAGCAGCGTGTCTGTGCACTGCAGCTCTGGCTGCCTGCCCACACTGGGCACTGATGACTGCATGCAGAGAGGGGATAGTCAACACTGTCATCTGAGGAGGAGAAACTGCGTTGCCCTAGTAACAAAGGTCTCCCAAAACTGTTGTCTACAGAAACTTGAGCTGCATCTCTCCTGGCCACCCAATAATAGCTCATATTAATTTATATTCCAGGAACGTTCAGAGGCCAACGTCAGGTCTAACTTCTACTCTCCTAAATGCCGCAGAGAAAGAAGAGGGTGCTGTCTTCACAAATTAAGGATCGAGCAATGCCCATCTCCAGACAGTCAAATTATCTTGCTCACACATGCCCCCCCCCAAAAAAAAAAAGATAAACAGAACATGGCTTGACATAAGGCAGAAGGTGGTCACCTATTCCTCTAACATAAGCTAACATAAGCCTCTCTCAAAAACCAGGCAGAGCCAGGCAAGAGTCCTGCAGGTGGCTCAGCTGGTGGGGAAGGCCACAAGTGTACCAACGCAGGTGGTACAGCAGACAGCGTCACTACACAGTGACCAAGGTGCCCTGTCTGGGCTCCAAGTGTGATGTCAGTCCCTCCTGAGTGAGAAGCTGCCCATGCCACCAGGTCCACAGTTTCAGCACGGAAAGCAGGAAGAAGTGGTTTTGACAGGGGTATAAAGCAGGTCTACATACCACAAAGGTATATAGGACCAGGGACTGACCCTCATTCTGCCTGCAAATGATTATTTGTAGGGTTTAAAAAAAAAAAAAAAAACAGACCCCCCCTAAAAACCCCTACAAATTTAATTTACCATAATTTACCACTTCATGTGCCTAAAGATGCGATATCCATGTGTAAAATGCTAGTCGGCCACTTAGGAGTTCACCAAAATATTTTAAAATTTTGAAACCTTTAGAATAATCAAATTAAGTCTCCCTGAGGCTACTCTAGTTTTCAATAGTATGGATATATTCAGATACACCAACAGCAACTAACCCTTGAACATTCACAGGAAAAAAATCTTCTAGAGGACAGCTTTGAGTACACTCAGTTTAAATTTCAGGTTAAGTGCATAGACTTAACAACATACCTGACCCCCAAATATATATCTATTTAAAATAAATATGCTAAGCATCAGAATCAAACATTTTTCTACTTGCTCCTTGTTGGGTATCAACACTTAATCTGGAATATCCACGCATTTTCAGTTAGCTCAGTGCAAGCTTAAGCCCATTAACTATTAAGACACTTAAAAAAGCTTTCCCAATTGAAGACAAATTACGTTTTAACTTTTGTACCTATGTATGTTGCAACGAAATACTGAAGAAAACGCTAGAGAAGAATGGGCAGGTTCATGTAAGAGGCTGAAGTTTATTGTTGCCTCTGGCTAGAGGATGGTTACATTTGCACAGATTAAATCAAATTATTATAATGCTTAGCAAATTCATCGAGCATGATGATGACTGCAGCATCTTTACTAAGTGCAAATCAAATAGCAGTGGCTGCCAAAACAATATTCAGATTTTGAGAAATGGTTAGTAAAGAGAAGTTTAACAACAGCAAAGATACGTACAGTGCTAAATGCAGGACAAACTCTGGTTTGACACAAGTGTATAGTAAAGATAGCGTGTGACCGTGAGCTCTGAACATTCATCTGAGTGCTGGCAGTGGTCCGAGACAAAGCCCCCAGCTTCAAGCACTGCATCATCTAGAGAACAGACAAGAAGTACATTGCACTACTTGCAGTTTAAATAAAAAGTGTTCCTATAGCACTTATTATTCTGGATATAAATAAGCTTTTTCTCTTTGCTATGATTTTAGTTCCTACATGCCAAAGGCAAAGATTCTTAAATAAGTAAACTAAAAGTATTTTTTGTGGTTTCTGAAAGAAAACTCTTAAATCTTTGTACCCCTCCTTCACTGCTCCCTGGTAGTAATACAGCAACATAACTATCTTCCTCTCATTCACTTATAGGACAAATATACAAATTTTGTACAAAAATGTACAGTACAATAACATTTATATACAGATTTGCAGTGCACATGAATAGCAGTTTACTTCACATCAGTCAGCATGAACAGCTTTCCTGTCACAGGAAAAATAATATATGTAAGATATGGGAGATCAGATTTACACACATGCCAAAGTTCTCTCCCAGCAGAACAACATTATTAGCAAAGGTCTGTTTCTAGCATTAAGTGAAAATGGTATGCACTTAGTATAAACCATTTATTAGATGAAAGTCTAGAGAAATTAAAGAAAATAAAAATTTCAGATAAATTTTACACCTCAATTGTCCAAGATGCAGATGTTGGCAACCATAACTTCTATTTTTAACTGCTTATCAAAACATACAGACAACATTTTTAGAATGTACTTAGTACGCTACAGAGTAATTTATGTTCAATGATCACCTCCGATTCTCCATTCACAGTTCGTGTTGTAACACCCACTGTATAAATTCCTCCTGCTTTTTTGAATCTTCATGTATTTTAATATTTGATTTTTTATTCTTTGCATCAATATCACGCGTGGTATCAAACAGATCAAGAATTTCTTCATTGTAAAGCTGAGGACAAAAAGAAAAAGGCAAAACACCTATTAGTCCTCCAAAGACTAACAAATCTGTGCATGACATACACTGGAAGTTCTAAAAATCCAAATGCCAAAGCTCTCAAAAAAGGATGCTGTGAAACCTCCTAACTTACAAGGAACATAGGATGATAGACATGGCAGCCGCAAATTAGATCACCTGCACACCTTATTTTGCCACCCAAAGAAGCAGAAACTTCTTCCACATTATCAGATCTGGAAGAAAATTATTTGGTGGGACCAGGCAAGGGGAGGCACTCCATGCCAGCAGAACAATGACTGCAGTGGTTTCTGTGCCAGTCACCTGCTCTCTTCAGGTCTGACCTTGGGCTTTTCTTTTGTTTTGTTGATTCAGTTGGCTGCACCCTCCTCCAAACACTTCAAACTCACTCCACTTGCTCTCCCTGCCATCATGCCTTTTCTCATCTCCTCTCTCACACTTTAATAATTTTATGTCTCTCTTCCATTTAGATAAACTGTTTCTGCCCTGGAAGGAATTTAATGTGTAATAATTTTTGTGCAAGCTGCTGACACCAGCCAGCAGGTCAAAAATACTGTGGCATGGTTTCTTGAGCAGGGCTTTTGTACTTTGCTCCATACAAGATGTACATTTTAGTGCCCCATATTTAGTTACAACTTTCAGGCAACAATCATATGAGCAACAGCAACTACTTACTACGTTGCAGGGTGCTTAATGTTTACTGCCTGTTTAACTGGGTCTCCTGAAGGTAAATACATATACATTTAGTGGTCTTTCAACTCAGTATCATTAAACACATCAGATTTTTAGGTCAGTCAGAATGCACAAAGACATCAGAAATTACTATGCAGTTACCAGTGTTAGAGGAAATGGATTATCATTTTATAAGAATGCTGTGGGGTTTAGGAAAGGCATTTGGATACAATTGAAGATACATGGGCTATTTTTTTTTTGTTTGGTTTTTTTTTTTTTTTTTAAAAAAAAGCCCACTGGGAATCTCATGGCTCAGGTCTCTGCTGATGTACACTGGAACAGTTCCAGTGTCCTTAATTTGGTTATATCAATTCACTTCAGCTGAGCTTAGGCCAGACTGATTAAATCCCTCATCAAAGTTCCTAGATAAAAGCCGAAGAACCTCTACAACAGATCTGTATTCACCCAAAGTAATTCCTCATACACTGAAAACAAGAGGCTTTCTTCTCTCACAAGTGAAAATCCATCCCTGAGAAGAAAAGGAGCAGCATTTGTGATGTGATGCACTTAATTCTTCACATATTAAAAAGGAATTATATTTAATTATTAGGCATTCATATTCTAAGTAGGAGCCTTCTTACTAATGTTTTACCTTGCTAGATGCAAACAAACTGCTGTCACACTTGAGAGGATCCTGATAATGCACCTACAATTGCATGGGACAGCATATGCCTATCTTTTGGAAAAGTTAGCAGGAAAGCAAGGAGTTGAGAGGCAGACTGCAGCATTATCACTAACATTCAATTACTGATCTGTTTTTTGGGACTCCTGCAGTCACATTTGTAATGTTATGTCAAAAAGCACAAGGAATTCAGAAGTTACACTGATTACTACTCCTTACACTACTACTGTCTGCAGCTGCCTAAGCAGAAATGAAGCTGCAGCTCCCGGATGTTCAAACAGAGAGAACAGAAGAGCACAGCATTCCCACAGCCCATGCTCAAGCCCAGACTCTCTCTAGGCAAACATTAGCCAGGGCAACAAAAAGTTCTGCTTAAGGTTAGCAGTGACAAACCTATACTAGTGCAAAACTAATGCCAGCTTGTTAATCTTTAAAACAACTATAGGAACATATGACTAAGGGACCTAGTTTACTTCAGCAGTAATAAAGCCAACAGCTTTTCTCCTGGGTAATATAAAAGTGGGTTTTTTCCCCTCCAAAGCAGATAAAGTAAAGCTGCAAATACTGAACTAAGTAATACACATTTACACCTGCTTTTCCTTAAATTGATTCTTCCTCTCCGTGTGTAGTATCAGATTTTGCACCTTGGTAGCTAATGTAAATGTTACACCCAAGTCAATCACTTTAAGAAATAGTTCCATGGGCTGGATACACAGCATAAAAGCTGCAAGACTTAAACCAACAGCTGCTGCAGGTCGGAAAGATCATAGATCTTATGGCCTCTTTAACCCATAGCTGCATCTACAAGAAAACACAAAGAAGCTGTGTCTACAAGAAAACAAACGTTTTAACACAGCACTGACCCAGGTTTTCTCTGGGACTAATGAAAAAGGGAACAGTGGACAGAAGTCCAATCCTAAACCACTGGGAATCACAAAGAAATATCTTTATGCTAGGTTTCTTCTTTGGAGAAAGGAACATAAGTTCCCTGAACAGATTTTGAAAGCTAAAGAAATCTACAGCAAAGTGACACAAGCAGGCAAAGCATGGTCACAATTCAAAGGCACAAAGTACAATTGATTATTTTTTTTTTAATAGTTTCTTGTTTTAAAGTTTTGTAAATAATTACAAAAAGGCAAGAGCAACAGGCCCCACAAACAAACGTGTGCTGCAAGATATTAATAATGACTAATATAACTATTTCTACACTTCAAAATAACACTGTAAAGGAAACTACTAAAATAATTGGAATGAGATAAAAAGGCTCTTTTTCATATATTGAATGCTGAAGCAAACGCCTTAAAATTTCCTTTTGAAATCTTGAAGATTAATTCAAAACATCTCATGGGAAAAGAATGTAAAAGTAGCAACCAGAGTTTAACTGGCTTTCCAAAAAAAGTGTATGAAATTACACACACAAACACAGATCGTAATTACCTCTAAGAATTGCGCATTCACTTTAAAATCTGGAGGTGGAAGTCCTTGTTTAATAGCAGCTTGTTTTTTTTCTTCAATACATCTGAAAAGGTGCTTAACAGCACGCGATATAATGCCTTGTTCCTCTTCTGTAATGTTGACATCAAATCCAGTGCCCATGGTATATGTTTTGCCAGCACCTGTCTAAATTGGGAAAGAAGTAGTCACTAGGACATGTTAATAGTACCAAATCGTTATGGAGAAATGCAGTTTGTAAACATTAGTGCTCAATAACGACTACTAAGTCAGTCTGCCATCTTTATAATATTAACATGCACAATAACAGGCTATTTTGAAAAACAGATAAACAGTAGAAGTTGGAAAAACTCTAATGCTTATCCATAGATCATATACAAGACAGCAGGGACCAGCTCAATCTTTCACAACCTTTCCCCTACAAGCTTTCTCTAAGTTGCTTACACCAGCTTTGAGCTAACATCTCTGAGGTCAAAGGAATAGTTAATGTTTTCAGCTGAGACTGTTAATTAAAGCGTATATTTTGGAGGCAGAAGCAGTATTTGCAATTCTTTACTGAAGTAGATCAAATGGCTCCATTAATTACGATGTCTGAATATCTTAGGGAGAATATTCTCAATTTACAGACAGCACACCAAAAAAACCCCAAAAAAAAACCAAACAAAAAAAAACCCCAAAAAACCACCAAGATGTACCTTCACTAGCTTAATTAAACGTGGAGTCCTATAGAAGAGAAGGTAGTGTTGTGTTTTCACTTAATTAGTGAGTTCAGTCTAAAGACAAAGATAGTATCATGCAGCTGAATATAATCTACTAAACTGGATCTGCAAACTGCTTTGTTTCACCAGGACTAGACTTCACCTAGCTAAATTGAGATACATTTAACAGTGGCGAAATTCAGCATCTAAGACCACATTTTATGCAATCAACTCCTAAAGGAATACTCAGAAGACAATAACGCATTCTCTGCACTGTGCTTAATGGTATTTCAGCTTTGAGAAGCAAAATGTGTGCTTAGTGTACTGAGAGGGTGTGTCCTCTATGAAAAGTTCTCCAACTTTAGAATTTGGTATCTCTATTTTGCCCACAAGCAAACAATGTGGCCTGAAGTTCCCCAGCATCTATTTTAAAAAAACCTCCTCTTCCCAGAAGTGTCTGAAAATGCAGAGGGATGGGTAATTGCTCAGAAAAGAATCTCAGCACAAACTCTATCTATATAGCAACTGATTAAGTCACTAATTTGTATCGCTGCATTGGGGTGAATTCAGGAATTACATGGACTCATACTACTTTCAGCATGTTATTAATTCAGACCTGCTGCCTATATATAGATTTTATTTATATATATACATATATATAAAAATAATTTTAAAAATCTTCTGCATTTCAATTGCTGTTGTACATAGAATCTGTACAAACTCCTAAACATTCTCCTACAGGATATTTTGTCTAAAATAAAACCAAGATGCTAAAAAACAGGTCCATGCATTCCGAAATTTAAGAAAAATATCAGCTACAAGAAACTGTTTATTCCAAAATAAATATTTTAAAATAAAATTGTAAAGCTTACTTGGCCATAAGCAAAAACAGTGGCATTATAGCCTTCAAAGCAACCTTCAATCAGTTTTTCTATGCACTGTATGTAGATCTCTTCTTGCTGTGAATCAATGTTAAAAACATAATCAAAAGTGAAGGCCTTGTCTTTTCCCAAGAACACTTGAGGTTCACCAGGTGTGACAGATGTACAAATATGGCATCCTTCAATCTTCTCTTTGGCTAGCTGCGGTCTAATTCTGTTTTGGAAGAGACGAAAAGAACTATTAGAAATTCTTATCATCAGAAAGAAGCATACGAACAATGTAAAATTGAGATCCGAAAAGAATTCCTTACTGACTGAAAAATGAGAATTTTTCATCAAGCCAGGAAGCTTCCAGTTGGCTGAGCCACAGCACTGACTGTATCAGAAGCCCACTCATACAACTGTTCATACAAATGATGTTATCTTCCCTGAAGGTCCACCTACCAACTTCAAGTTTATGACCTGCCTAGAAGTCTCAATGTTTCTGTATGTATACCATGCATTAACAAAGATTAACTTGCATGATCTGTTTCAGACTTTTAAAATCAAGCTTTCCAGTTTTATCAGATTTCTTTGTGCTTTCATTGTAAAAATGGGTTGTTTGGTGTTGTGTTTTGTTTTTTTTAAATAGCAACAGAAATATGAAAAAAAATGCAGGATAGTTTAAGTAGTAATTGGGGGCACAAGGACCCTCAAAGGCTACATATAATTTTAAATGAAAACCTCCTTCCTATGAGAGCAAGAAGGCAGCTCACATCTCTTCCTCTGACAGGAAAGGAGCTTTGTCACAGCCTGAACACTTCTGTGAAATGTCTGGTTTCAGTGAAGCAGCATAACTTCAGAGGAAAACAAAAGAACAATTTCTAACAAGTTCTAAAGGTAAGGGTATCCAATTCCTCACTAGTTCCCCACTGAGACAAATCCCAGCTTTTATTTCCATTTGTTCAGTTTCTGACAAAGTACTTTGTAGAACACAGCCACTTCAGATTTCTTATATCCTATAATTTTATTAGTTTCTCTCACAGTCATGTCAATATTGAATTTATGTACTAGCTCCATTACTAAAGACGACTGTGGAAGTTTGTAACTAAATTGGTTTAATGGTTAACTATCAGGAAGAAAAACTCTGTCCAACATAACCTATTATTCTAGCTGTAATTTAATAATTTGTTTACAAAATTACCTTTTTTTAAAAAAGAAAGTTTTCAAGTTCTCAAAGCAGTACTAAATTAAAAAAAAAAAAAAACAAACAATAAAAAAACCACACAAATGTATGCAGCTTAAAAGACAGGGGACAAATAAAGCTACATATAAGGGTGATGAAATGCCAGCAGTACAAGCTACATGCAAACAAAATCATGGAACATTTAATGTAGATTCTCCATTTCCATAAAAATTCAAGTACCTATATTTACCTCAGTGTGGCTACTCTCAGTTACACAATGTCAAAGTTGTAGCTCTGTATACACAGAGTACACTTTAAGGGCACAGACTCATTTCATACTCCACGCTTCAAGGGCCATATCCACATTAGTTTTTGGTTTGGAGTAGGTGTGCTGTCTTGAAGCAAATTCCCCTGACATCTTCACTTACCACATGTTGGTTTGGATCACAGACCAGTTTCAGGGTGCACAAATTATATCCCTTTCAGAGGAAACAAAGCCAAAACACTCCAATCCAAACACATGAAACTTGTTCCAAAAACTAATGGAAACATAAGGGTCCAAAGTGACCTACTGATCTATTGCGACCGTGCCAATGCTTGCTGAGGCAGAAAGCACTAGTCTCCAACAACTAAGTGGACTGCTGTAGACTAATTCAAATTGTATCAGCACTTACATACTTTAGTTCAAGTTAGAAAGATCCTGTTTAAAAGAAAAAAAATATCACATGGAGCACAATGTATCTTCTTTTATTGCAAATTACAGATTTTTCACCCAGGGATGTGCACTGCTGTCAGGAATATTTTTCAGAATTTTTATAGAATCATAGAACGGTTTGAGTTGGAAGGGACCTTAAAGCTCATCCAGTTCCAACCCCCCTGCCATCAGCAGGGACACCTTCCACTAGACCAGGTTGCTCAAAGCCTCATCCAACCTGGCCTTGAACACTTCCAGGGAGGAGCAGCCACAGCTTCTCTGGGCAACCTGTGCCAGTGTCTCACCACCCTCACAGTGAAAATTTCTTCCTAATATCCAATCTAAGCCTGCCCTCTTTCAGCTTAAACCCATTTCCCCTTGTTTTGTCATTAACTGCCCTTATGAAAAGTCCCTCCCCAGCTTTCTTGTAGCCCCCTTCAGGTACTGGGAGGCCGCTATAAGATCTCCCCGGAGCCTTCTCTTCTCCAGGTTGAACAGTCCCAACTCTCTCAGCCTGTCCTCATAGGAGAGGTGCTCCAGCCCTTGGATCATCCTCGTGGCCTCCTCTGGACTTGTTCTAACTGGTCCATGTCTTTCTTGTGTTGGGGGTCCCAGAACTGGACACAGTACTCCAGGTGGGGCCTTACGAGAGCAGAGCAGAGGGGGAGAATCACCTCCCTCGACCTGCTGGCCATGCTTATGCTGAAGGTTTCATTATATCACACTTTGTGACACTAGAGAATATCCATAATTTATTTGTAAGTTTTTCTGCACATTAATTCCTTTACAGAATATTCGTTAACAATCAGGCAGTACCTCCCTTCTCAGCATACCCTCTGGTGTGGAGTGGAAATTAAGCAAACCTTTGAAAAATATAATTAAAATGAACAATTATATGATGTCGCACAAATATTCTACAAACAGTATTTGCATTTAACAACATGGAGTATGTAATACAGGTCACAGATTTTCTCTCTAATAACTTAATAATTATCATAAGGGGGTTTTTTCCCCTTAAATGAAATAAGGATGCTAAAAATAAATAACATTCAGTTTGATTCACTAGCATCTGTGTCCACTAAACAGAAAACCTGACTAACATGTACCTAAGCTTGTAATAACGTTAATTCATTCTAGACTAATGAACATTTTATGATAAAATAGCTTTTATTTCTAGGTAGAGATAGAAAGTCTTCAAAATCAATCATATGCCTTTCCTAAAAGCACTCTACACAATTTGAAAAACTGAGCAAATAAAACACTGTAGCATGCTGCCCATAACACTTAATAATTAGAAAATGCCAACTTGGTAGATTATTCTACTGCCTTATTTTAATGCCAATAAGTCAGTCAGAGGGCAAGCTTCTTTTTAAGATTAAGCACTCTTATTCTTTTGCTAATCCAGCGCAGACAGCATCAAAGGTAATCAATTCTTCTTACAAGCATGAACTCTGAGGGCTTCTAAAGCTCCAGAGATATTTCTTGAATTATTTTCTAGCACAAGAAAGCCTAGAAAGACCTTTTCTAAAAAATCAAGATGGGAAAATACATTTTCAAAATTAAGTAATCTTTTCTGCATCCAAAAAACCCAACTTCCCCCCAGTTCTGAAAGGCTTTTAGCACTATCTTGTAGAATGAAGGTTGACAGCTAAAAATGTTTTTCTCCATATATTTTCATTCTCTCTTTTTTAAAAAAAGGTTTAAAATTCATTTTCTGTGCTAAGGAACTGATGTAATTATGACAGGTACCCTTTCTACTACTAAATAAAGGCTCAGAGTGACCACAAAGAGGAACAGCATGCCTAAAATATCAATGATTTGCATGATAATTGTTATAGTGATGACAAGACTGTCAAGCAGGCAGTTCCTGCAGAGACTTCCCATGAGAACCCTCCCAGCGAGCTCCCTGCCTTGCAGCCAGGCAGCACCTCCCAGCACTCTGCTGCCACCGAACCCAGCACAGCAGCCAGGTCTGACTGTCCCCAGAGTGAGGGACCAGCACAGACAGCGGCTGAGCTGACCGCAAGCTGTGTCTCTACAGCAGCTTGTAACCAGCTCCATCACTTCCTCTGGGTTGTAACACAACATCCAGAGACCCAGCAGAGATGATGGTGTCCTTCCTCTGTAACCTACCACTAAATCTGAAGGCAGTGCTAAGAGAAAAAGTAGCATTTCACCAGCACATATGAAGTCCAAAAGAAAGATAAAGCAAGACTCGCCACATCAGGAAACCTCCACCACAAAGCCAGACACCCTTCTTATTTTGTAATTGCTCGTAGACAAAGTCCCACTCTGACAGCAAGTTGGGAGGTAGCAACCAGGGAGAGACCACAGCTGCATCAGGTTTGAAAGACATCTTTCCTGAAAGGATGTGCACACAGGAAATCTTCATCACCCGGCCTGAGGTCTGCTCAAGGGTTACTTCATGCTCTGAAATCTATATAGCTTCCTTGGTAAGTTTAGCACCAAGCTAATGTGATGACCTTAATGAGTAAGCAACAAATGCCTCACCTTCAACCTGATTTCTGGCCACTTATAAACAGTGTGAGTGGATTACCTGAACTTCGTGGCTCTCAAAAAGTCTAACCATTCACACTAAATGTGTGGTCTGGCAAGTAATAGTCCTCATGCAAGTCAGATTCTGCTCCAGCACTGGCTATAGGAGTTTCCTCCTTCTCTGGCCCACACATCAAATAGGAAATTGATTTTTCCTTCTGCTTACAGCCAAACCTTTCCCACTCTCATGGCTTAATGTGGTCACTTCAGTCAGCAAAGCAGGCAGCGCCCATGCTTTAAAATGTGAAAGAATTCATTTTGATCATCTCTCCTTGCCCAGCTCCCAGCCTGGCAGTCTGCCACTGGAATTTTTCTCCAGTACCAATTTGACTTCACCCATTTTTCTCTTATATGTGGTTGTATCTCACCTGTTTTTCAGGCTACTCTCTTAATTACACACAATCAGCTGTTTTCTACCTATTTCCAATCACATCTCCTCAGATGTGGTAACTTTCCAAACAACCCTTTGCCTTGCATCCTTCCCTCTCCAAAGCACAAACACACCCAACTCCTGTTTACATGTACTTTGCAGAGCCTCCAGGCGCCCCACACACATGAGACTTAATCCCCTAAATCTATTCTGCCTCCGCACTCTGGGACAAGCTGCCTAATTAGAGAGGGCTAAAATAGCCAGTGGTGGCACAGTAATGCACTGTATTGTACTGGAACTAATCTCTCAGTAGAATAGGTGCACAATATCTCTGCTAAAAATATTGTCGGCTGGAACAGACACGGGTAATACAGTCAGGCACCATAGCAATCATGAGGTCAATACTCTGTGTTATGCAACACATCAGACTTCCCAGAATTGATTCCTGTTTAAACTAGATAATAGCATAATAACCCTTCGAAAAACATCCTATCTTAATATATTTCTATGAATGGAAAATTGTCCCAGTAATTTAAAAATCTATTTTATATGTATATATGGATATATAAGGGTATAGAGAGATACGCATACATACACACACATCCCCTTTCATCTACTGAACAATTTTCTTTCTGCTCATTTAAGAGCCTCCCATTTATCTAATTTTTCCCCAGAAATCTCCACACATCTACAATCAAGCCAGCCCTTAATCTTGTTTCATATACTAAACAAAATGAGACCAGTGAAATTTTTATTTTGCATCTCCATGTGAAGTATTGCAAATATTACTCTAACAAAGGGTAATTAGCACAACATATACCTTCTCAGCACCTGTTCAGAATAGCAATAGGCAAAGAATAACTACTAAGAGTGACCTATAAAGGGCAAAGGATGAAGTTATTCTTGTTTCATGGAAAGAAAAATCACATATTAATCTTTCAGATAGCAATAACTAGCCAGAAGCTGAGCGTTGGCAAGAAGAAAACACAACAATGAAGTTCCAAGTAAAGTTTTGTCATTAAACTCTGTTGTGGGGAGAGGACTCTGTTCACCTTGCTCAAAAAAGCATAAACTAAAACATCACTCAGACCACGTGCTGTGCTGAGCAGGGAACAAGTTAACCTGTAAACCAAAGACTCTCCAATACTCCTCTCTTACTACACTAAGCCTATTAAATTTCACACAATTGAGTTTCATATGTGGGAATATGAAATATTAAATCCAAGAGCGCTTAATACAACATTTAATGAAGCTTAGCAGGCAATATAAACTGGGAAACAAATAAACAAAAGCTCTCCAAATCCAGAAAAAAGAAAACTGCTTCCTGCCAATACTTTGACATCATGATTCCCTCATCTTTCTATTCCATTACATTTATGCTCCTCAAACAACTCCCATTAAACATACTCCTTCATAACAAGGAGGGAATAAAGAAAGCTAAACAGATTTAATCTCATAGACACCAGATAATTCAACTTGCATGAACTTCTCAGTATTTTTGCTAGCACACAGTGGAACTGAGACCACAACTATAACATCTGAATGTTTTTATCTGAAATAGCTGATTGGTATATTAACTCTTTACCTTTCAGTGAGGTTTAAGAATGAGGCTGGCATATGACAAATGCCAGGTCTACCTCTTGTTAACAGCAATAAGGACACTACATAGCCTTTCGGGTCATGCCAGCAGCCATCACCCATTAAGAGTTTCTGTTCTGTGCCAACACAGTCTGTGGTGCTAAATAACACCTATAGGTTAAAAAAAAATGCTCATATTGTTGAGTTGCCATTCAGTATTTTATAAGATGTAAAAAGGACATGCAATTACAGATATGCAAGGTATAGCAATTACACCAGATACTGCTCAGCAGCCAAGCTGAGGCAACTGGCCACCCAGCACGTTGCCAAATCTTTCCCCCTGGCCATGGGTCAGCTCCCACCTTGTGAACCTGCTTTGCCTGAGAGAGACACGGGCACACGCCAGTCACCCATCCAGGGCAACGAGCACCGGCTGGCTGCGACCATAACTCAGTCACTCTTACGTAAGATTTGGGCACCGCTCCCGTCAGCGTTTCTCTAAAGTTGCCAAGGCTGCTAAGCTCTAGGCTGAGCTCAGCGCTTCCAGCAAGTCTTGTGTGTGCCCAGAGCCCACAGAAGCTAGGCAGAGTCCAGGCACTGCTACTCCGCCTAACCTTACACTGGCTCCCTGTGCAAGCACCAGTGAGGCGGATATTTTGCACATGTATCGATGCTTGCCTTGGGACACCAGGAAACTTTCAGGCACGTCAAGTAGGTATCTCGATGCAAGTTTGGCAACACCAGAGAATAAAATTTCCTGGATAGCTCTTGGACATAAAAGTGTATTAAGGACTGTGGTAGAAGCTAAAACATGATCTATGTGGTCCAGATTTTACTCCAAAGTCCTATTAAGATACTGATAAGAAGCTATTAGTATCCCTTCAATCCATGTGGAGCCATTAAACATGACCACTAAGCCCTTAGCTTAAAACATCCAGCAGAATCAGCCCCTAAATATACCCTGAGATATTACATTTTCAACTGCTAACTTATTTCACTGCAAATAAAAAAAATCCTATTCAAAAATACACATGCAGAGTATTTTGTTTCAGTGCGTCAGACTGTCTCTTCCAGTTTGCACATAATGAGAAAGCAGCAAATGGAAAACTGGAATTAAATTAAACTGAGGAAGTGTACCAGTGCTGTAACTAGATTTGTCCAGTTCTCCTCCTCTACATTCAATCTCTACCTCTTCATCTGTTTTTTTTTTTAATTTTTAAGCACAAATTTAATTTCAGAAAACAATTACCCTTTTCAGCAGCTCGCCTCTGATCAGCTCATCTACTCATTAACTGTTCATGCTGGGGATTACGTTCGCAGTGCCAGGCTGAGGCAGTTTCACAGGCTGCTGCTTTCGCTCGGTTCCTGGAGCGCCGTACAATAGCCGCATCTCTGGGCAGCCACTATGGCTAGCCAGAAAACACTTTAGCAGTATGATTTCAGACTAATTCTTGTGCAGTTCTGCAGCAGCCTAGCAGGCTGTGCAATGCAGATGGCATCCTCACACTGACAGGCACAGTCCTGTGCTTTTGCCAAGAAAAGAAAACACAGGGAGGGAAAAGGCCCAATCCTGCCCTCACACAGACCTCCTACTGCCCCACACGCTCCCTTCCCCATCCCCACCTCCCACAGAAGGGCTAAAAGATCCTCCAGTAGACCTAGAAGACCTCCAACATCTTTCCTAATAGCATGAATGAATGCTTTCATCCAAACCTCCTCCTTGTGATTTCTCAGGGACTAATTTACTCTCTAGTGAGCAAAGAAATCCACAGCTTTCGAGAACAATTTGACTTTTGAGAAAGAGAAGGGGGGAGTGCGTTGCAGGATTTGTACAGGCCTTGATTATTTCTAGTTCAAAACAAGGTCAGTTGTGATGGAAAAGCAGCACTACCATAAGCTTCCACGTGCCTGCCAAGGACAGAACTGGCACGCCTCCAAAACCAAGTGCAGTTTGAGGAGAACGAAACTGGTACTGGAAGTGACATTTCTATGGCAAAGAGATTTTTTAAAAAATTGTTCCAGTGTACTTCTTGCCCTGTTTTTTTTATTAACAGTTAGTGTTACATGTCTCAACACTCTCAGAAAGCTAGAAGAGGAATAACAACACAGTATCTTAGAGAGAAAGTGAGATCTAAGCAAATGCAAAATTAAATTTATGAATTAAGATACGATACCATCAGAATCAAGAATCAAGGTACCATCCCTGGAGGTATTTCAAAGACATATGATGTGGTGCATAGGGACATGGTTTAGAGGTGAACTTGGCAGTGCTAGGTTCACAGTTGGACTTGTTGATCTTAAAGGCGTTTTCCAACCAAAACAATTCTGTGATTATAAGAATTTAAGTATTTATAGTTTACTAGCGAGAAACAAAACAAGGAGTTAGGCCTTCCTAAAACTAAAGTTCAAAACTAATTTCATACCATACAGGAATGCAAGCACACCTTTATCATGCAATAAAGTGGCAGAATAGATACCTTGGTCCCAGCAATCCTGGGTCAAACATACAGCAGTGCTGAATGGAACTACAGACACCTAATCTCCATGTAGCTAATTAGCCTGGAGAGACCACCTCTCCTCATCAAGGAGCATGAACAAGTAATTTTAGAGAGTAAGAAGCATAAGTAAGTATCTGCTGTTACAGCACAGTGGAACACCACGCTCAGCTGTACTACTAGCGTGGCTGGTATGAGCTCAAGGTTTGTACACAACATTGCACAAAATATGTGGATGTACACTGAAATATTCAAGTCACTCACAGGCTACTCCTCCTGTAAAGATTAACCCTGAAAATATAATCCCTGGGAATCTTTTCACCTTTTAAAAAAAGAACAAAAAGAAACTCCAGAAGGTGCTAGTTCATTTCAGGTTTTGTTTTGAGATCCAAAATAGGAAAATGCAGGAACAAGGGAAATATCTAACCCAAAAATTTCCCACAAGGAAGCAAAACTATCTCAGGCTTTGGGTTTGGATGACTGTTCCATGTCACCAATACTGTAGTTTCCCAGAGGGTTCAACTAGTCTTCAATTTGATGGCTGTGCTCTAGATAGATTAGGTAACAAGTCCAATATCCAAAAACCAAATGAAGGACAGAAAGACTCCCTTAAACTGTACATTAAATCTGTCTCTCTCAAATAAGTGCACTTGCTTCTTATAAGTTGAAGGTTTCTACTGAAAAATGTTTTAGTTTTTATGACTGATAAGCTCATGCAGAGTACGAAACACCATCTTCATTTCATTGGTGTTGTTTCACATCACTCACTAGCACTAATAATACTGAAGACTAGCAAAGATTACTATTATGAAAACTTCATGGTAACAGCACCTGAATGTCACACCACTTAAAGAACATAGAGGTCACAAATTCAAATGGGAAGAGGAAAGAAAGGTCTTTTGGTGTGTTCCCAGACCAGTGTCTACAACTACAGCACTCATGGATATAAAGAGGCCAATTAGGCAATCAAGTGTATCTTTCTGTGTATAAGGATCCATGAATAAAGCAATTCCAAATACGTAAGAAAGAGCATGGCACTGTATATTTCTTTTGCAAATTATGGGGGTTTTTTTCCTCCAAAATTTAGTGTTAACACTTAAGTTAGCAGTTCCTGCTCTGGAGCAGTAGCTGTAAGGAGTGGCTGAGTCACACTGCTGGTAAAGTGTACCAGAGCCTGGAATTAATTATGTAATTAGAACAATACCAGGAAAAGGGATACACTTTCTGTAGCATCTTTCCGCTGTATGACTGAACGCCTAACAGAGATTAAATCTGCTAAACAAATGTCATTATATGTAATTTAAGATGAAAAAACTTAATCAAGAGAGTTTAAGGAAACTTTGTTCAAGAGTGCACAGTCCAGCAGCCTAGTAATGAGTCATGATAATAAGTGCTGCCAGTATTTCAGAGACACTGTTTCCAGAAATTTTAGAGTACAAGAATTCAGCTGAGAGAAAACAGTACTGTTAAAAGACATGTGGTGAATATAGGCTATCCAGCCCCCCAAAATACTGTAGTCACTGCTGCCTTACCAACCTACAGAATAACATTTATTTAGGTGTAAGGGGAAAGAGGGGAAGGAATTAATAAAGACCATAAAACAGTCTGAGTACCTGCAAACCTAAACTCAGTCACATCTAGAGTTCAGGGATTTTGGGGTAATTCAGGTACGTCTTGTAAGCCAGGGCCCACTCACCTAACATTGATCCAAACATACCAAGACTGTAAAAAGTACACCACAAATGTGGATGGTGTCAACTCTTTACAAAAAACACACTTCTAACTACTGTATAATTACCAGAATCAAACTTTACTAAAAACAGAGTTTTGTGAGACAGCTGGTTTCAAAAACATTGCCCACAGCATCACAGTACACTGAGGAATGAACTAAGTATTTTCAATTAAAGGCACAGAACTGACAGCGGCTTTCTGGTTCAAAAGCTGAATGCTCCTGCTTGCAGAACAATAACACTATTTCTGCACATCCCCACAAAAAAAAAAAAAAAAAAAAAAAATCTGTTTTACCTGCAAAGCCAAAGGAATAACTTTAAAATAAAAATATTTAATGAAATTAAGTTAAATATTTTAAATGTACATACATTCAAGAACTTCCTCACACCCCAAGTCACCAACACCTTTAGGGAAATCAAGACTAAGTAACACAGGTATATTCAGAAATAAGCAAACAAAACAATATTTATTCACTACAGGAAAATATTTTTTTTAATAGGAGAGAAAACAAACTGATGTTATTAATGCAAGATTATCCACATGACCAAAAAACTGTCAGCCATGCCAACACTAGGCTTCATCCAGTTTCTTCCTCTTAACAGTTAAATGTACCTCTATTGTAGTTCACTACTTCTTCAAAATATTCAAGTTTTTAAAGAGTTACCCTGTTATTTTTAAACAAAGTTAAGAGTTTTCTATGTCTGCAAAGAAGAATTCCTGATTATTGCCTCCCTTGCCCAGATTTCCCTTTCCTTTTCAAACACCCACAACCTACCTACACACATACACTTACTCTCCCAGCCCTTAGAGCTGTAGTCCAGAAACTGCTACACATTCATTCCAATATTACTGTTTTCATTTCTTTCACCTCCATAAAGAGAACTTAACTTCTCAGTTATATATTTTCAAGTCTAGTGCAATTTGTTGCTTTACACGTATGAGCCACAGGTCCAAGAATTACATTTCAACAACTTCATTTAACTCAAAACACAAAGTTAACGACATACTTATTACAGCTAAAGCTACAAGCCACTTCCCAAGTAATTACAGTTAAATAATACAACAAAAGAAAAGGAGGATCAGGTCAGTGAAAAGAAAATTACGAGTTGTCAGTAATTATTACTGAAATGACTGCTTAGCTAACACCACAAAAATAACAAGTACACACTTCACAATGGGACAAGATAGCTAAAAACAGTGTTTCAATAATCTGCTCTGAATAGTGCCTTCACCCTGTTCATTTTCAGTGCAACATTCCTGGAACAAAAACCACTGTATGACTTTTCTGCCACTCCTTGTTAAAAAAAAAAAAAAAAAAAAAAAAAAAAAGTTGTATCCATAACACTCGATCCACCAAGTTCCAAAGCAAACTGCAGAAAATTTCTTCATATTTATTGTTGACTGTTTCTAATGAACAGAAGTTGCTCTGTTTCACAACAGAAGGTAGACTGTTCAAGCAGTGAGAGAGTTATGAGCTGGTAAATCCTAACTGCAGTAAGGAAAAAAATAACCCACTTTATTTAGTACTATCTGTTTTAAAATTTGCAAAACAGAACAATACTATCCACTTTCTTCAGTCCTTCTGGTTCACCTACACATTTTTGTAGGTCTGAATGTCAATCCTCAATTTTAATTCTTTCCTTCATGTCTATTCATCCTATTTGCAAGGCTGCAAAAACATCCACGTTAGCAGCAACAGCATCAAAAATTAAAGGTTATTTTTTCCATCCTTCTGTTTTCCATCCTCCCGTTCCTATGTTCCACAGCTGCCCTCACTGCTGTTTGTTGGCTTCAGGTGATGCTTTAAAAAAATAAATAAATAAATAAATAGGCCTCTAAGGTTTGTTAAAAGTCAAGGCAATTCAGGAAACTATGCTAAAAATTCAGTAGGTAGCATTTTTCCACACTGAGTCATGCTCCAAATTGATTGCTCAGTAGGACACTGGATGCTCTTTTGTTGTAAGCAAGCAGTTCAGGCAAACATAAACTGACAGGCCCCAAACTCCCCCCTCCCCCTTCCTCTATTCTCCAATCCCCCCCAAAAGTTGAGATGTTTGGAAGTCTCTTGGTACCTATTCTAACAACACTCTCCATGAAGTTTCTACCAGGTGCAAAATTTGGATTATCGAGCAGCACATCTTTTGTGCTGCTAACTGCAGGCTGA